AGATTCGAATCGCTTTGTAAATGAATCCTTCTCGTCTCATCGAGTCAATGATTCCAGATAAAGATTGAACAATTTCTAATTTCTTTCCTTTCCTTTTCTTTATTTATCATTCAAAACCATTTTCTTCAACATAAGATCAGTTTAAAAATACATTATCTATTTATTTAATCAATTCAAGATGAATGACTTTAAAAGTAAAATCCATCAAACTTTAAATTCAAAACCAGATCAAATCAATTCGAATTCTAACCGTTCGAATTTAAATTTAAAAACTTCTCAAAAACCACCTCCGATTGTAGTACCCAAGATGTTTTCAATCTCAAGTGCTAAATTCAATTTGAAACCCACTAATTTTATTAAAAAACAATTAACTGCTCCTACTACACCTATCCCATCACCTTCTTCATTATCACCTTCAAGATTAATCTCTTCTAAGCAACGTTCAAGCTCTCAATCTACTCTATCTCCTAAAGAGAAACCCATAGAATCTAATGATCAATCTTCAATAAAAGTAAGTCTCATCTTCTGATGATCAGATCAATGATATTCTATATACTTACGTTGAAATCTAATTCTTACGCAGTCTGAAAATCAAGCTATCGAAAGTTCAAAACCTGAAACCGAATGTAAAAGTAATCCTATCGATCTATCAAGATCTTCATCAAACCCTTCACCTCAACATCATTCTATCATGTCTAAAATTTCAAACTCTCCTGATCTTCTTGAAAAAGGTCAAGAAACAGAAAAAGTGAAAGAAGAGCAAGTTCAAGATCAAGAAGTCGAAGAATTAGAAGAAGAGACCGATCGAGTTCGAGATCAAGAAGCAGAACAAGAGAACGATCAAGGTCGAGATGAAGAAACAGAAGAAGTAGTAGATGCAGAGCAAGACCGAGATCGAGAGCAAGAGGCAGAAGAAGCAGAAGAAGCAGAAGATCGAGTTCAAGACTGGCAAACCCAATTTCAACAAGATCCTACTGCTTTGACTAAAGAATCTATTTCATCCACTTCAGAACATCGTACCTTACTCGAACGTGCTAATTCAGCTGCTGCTCGATTAGATTCACTTGCTAGACTTAATGGTGTGAAGACTCCAACTTCAAATGAAGGTCATCCAGATGATCAAGATTCGGATGATGAATTACCTCCATTCCTAAGATATTTAGAAGAAATCCAAAAGAAACAATCACAGGATCCAGCTCCAAATCCACTTAGTTTACATCAAACCCTTCATCCTGCATCGGCTTATCCACTCTTACCTCCTACTGGTCTCGGTTTCGCTGTAGGACCCAATGGGAGAGGGGTACCTAGGCTATCTGCTTTACAACGTAAAGCGTTAGAGAAGATGGAAAAAATGGAGAAGAAAAATGGTGTGGATCCTCAGACTGTCATTGGAAAACCAATTCCTTTAGGAGGTGCAACCCTACTTAGTCGAAGTCATACTACCACTGGTACTGAAAGAACTCGCAGGTTGGACATTTCTGCTCTCCAAGCTCGGAACAAAGGCTTGCAAAGGTCTCAAACACCAAATGATCTACCTCAAGACTTATCAAGTTTCCCTACAGCTTCGACTGAACGCGAGCAAGCAAGAAGTAATCTGATCAGAAAACTCTCTAGTCGAAGCGGCGCTGGTCCAGGTCGTCAAACTAAATTAAAAGCAATTCCTTCCGAGCTTACAAACCCCCTCATCACTCCTGCTATACCGATTCAAGATCATGATTCATCTCATCTTCCTTACGAGAATTCAAAACCTCGACCTCGAAGTGGGAGCACCAATGAACCTGCCATCTTGGCTAGTAAAGAACACCTAAGCAGCAAGGAACCGAATGATCTTGATCTTGATCTATCAATTCAGTTGCATGATCATCAACAGAACACATTTGAACCTGACTACACGAAACCCGATTCGGCTGGTTTCATGATCTCTAGTCACCATCCAACCACAGAATCTCAATCTGCAACGTCCGTTGAAAAGGTCAATGAGACTAATTCCATTGATGAACAAGTCAAACTCATCGAATCTGCTGAGCATACAACTTCACTTCGAAAATCGGCTCGCAGCAGTTCGATTCACACCACGACTACCAATCGTGCATCTTCATCCGAGTTATCAACCTTTACGCTTAATTCCGAATTCAGATCTTATCGACACTCGCTTGAGAGAGATCGAGACAGCGTTTTAGACCGGATGGGACTCATAGATAACACGCTTGACAATGAGATCAATGGTCATCTTGTATCAGACTCTGCTGAACAAGTACCTTATGAGGCTATACCTGAAGTGCCATATCTAGGTAGTAGTTTGACAAATGATATCAATACTGACGATCATCAACAAATCGAAGGAAACACAAGGAATGCCAATAGAGAAGGAAAACGTGTGGTTGCGTCCTTACCTCCATTTAACAGCATGTTGAATTACGACGAGGATCAGCTGTGCTCTGTTTCTACTCCGTCAACCTTGTGTCCTCCTCAGAATTCATCGATCTGTGCGGAGCCCATCGTCACATCAAACTTTGAACATGGTCCCACCAACTCGAGCAAGCCATATGTGAACCGCATGGACAGGTCGATGCCTACCTCTGCAACTTCGACCATTTGTCCTCCTAGATTAATCGTTCGTCAGACTACTACGACTACTATTAGTAGTGGTGTAGGAGATGAAGAGACATTCTCTCATAATTCTCCTCTTCGTTCTATTATTGATGGGATTGTGAGTCCGACTCATGACCAACAGTTTGTGACAGTGAAAGGTTCAGGTAGCTATTTCGATGATATCGTCTTCAGTCCTGCTCCTGATCTTCCTGAGACGCTTCTTAAATATGACGAAAACTGTTTGGCGGATTATAAGTTTCCTTCATCGGGAGCGATCCGTCGAACAAGTTTGAGAACCTTGAAAGAGAATGGTGAAGGTGGTGAGGAAGATGAGAGAGCGATGTCGGTTGATGAACCCACGGTAAGTTTGGAATCCAAAACAAAACTCATCTTGATCTTTTTAAATGAATTCATTTGGTCCTGGTCCGAACTCATTCAACTGCCGAGCTTCACGCTTGGTGGATTTGGGTCATGTCTTGCCATCTCTCTATGACCGTTTCTACGTCGATTGTTACCATCTGCCTCGGTGATGTGTTTGAATTCATGCGGATCAACTCACATGAACGCGAGGTCCTCTTTTCAAATTTGGCTCACTCGAACTGACTCTCTGACTTCCTCGTACTTCTGTTATACAGATGATGATTGAAGAATCATCATGCGATCTCTCCCCTGTGGCTATCACTTCTTCGTCGCCGTGGCGCGAATCTGATGATGGCTCCCTCCGTTCGACTCATTCGAATGTTCCTAAGCCTGCCACACAAACCATGACCGATACTAGATATCAAGATCAAGTCAATCGAGCGTTGGAGGAGATGAGTCGAGGTAGCAGTGCCTCTTCACTTTCAAAGTGAGTGTTTCGTTTCATCATCTCAGTCACTTTCCTGACTTGGTCCCCACACATCTTGATCGTTTCCACTGACTTGATTTTCATTCATTTTAGTAGAATTTCTAGTTCTGAACGACCATCGAGCCACTCACCTGTTATGTCAATCAAACGAGGTCTCTCACCAGCTCAACCTCTTCATCCAGTCGAGAGACCCCGTCCACGTCGACCCAGCAATCCACCACCGATTGCACAGCCCCATCACACGCTGTGTCGGTCGCCACCACCACCCACACCTCCTGTAAAATCTCACATGCATTCACTTGGTCCATCCCAATTCCCTCCAGCTCCTAACTTGGCGAAATCTCACATGCCCTCGGCATCGCCGCAGGACCTCGCCCGGTACAATGATTCAAAATTGGCTCCATTCCCAGCTCTTTTATCCTCTTCATCATACGTCACCTCACCTCCACTTGGTCCTTCTCAAATGACCACTTCAAACAACTCGAGCCCTAATGTTGGTAGCATATCATCCACTACTACCCCCACTTCCGCCTCTTCCATGTCACCCGGTTTTTCCGACTCGTCGCTCAAGTCAATTTCCGGTAGTAGTCAACCTTCTCATCCTACTAAACCTTCTCGTTCACATGGCAACAGTATCCTCTCGACCGCTTCTAGTTTCATCAGTTCAAGTCTTGGACACCATGGTCGAGCCAGTAGTACATCGAGTTCGATTAGTACCAGTCTGATCGGTCAACCCGTTCTCATCGATTCCTCGAGGCCAAACTTTGCTAATTGTACACAGGTAGGACAGGCAGCGCACATGATGAGCCCATCACTGTCACAGACCGGTTCCAACTTTGATACTCTCGATGAAGCAGAAGAGCGCGTGGAAGAGATCGATCAACGGGCTTCAGATTCAATTCACAACCGCGACTCTGATTTGGGTCCACCTTACCGCCAGAACTCGATCTCTGCTGGGATCAAACGATCATCAGCCAAAGCCGCTTCTACTTCAAGTCCGATTCCTGGGAGCTCATCAGCTCATCCTCTACTACCTCATTCTTCTCTCATGTCTCGATCTTCAGTGTCACACAGCTCACTGAGCTCTTATGGTTCATCCTCCTCTGACCATCGTCAACAAATCCTTCAAAAACTCGGACCTTTCCTCAACTTCTCCGATCTTAACAAACCCAACTTATCCCGAAGACCTTCAATGTTGAATCAACCACCTAGGAAGTTACGCTTACATGGACCGGTCCTTCAAGTTGTCAATTCTACTTCTGTCAAAGATCGATACCTGTTTTTGTTCAATGATATTCTAGTTATCACCAAACCGATCATTGAGTTTGAACCTAATCTATCACCCGAAGGAGAACGAATTCCCAAGTTACCGATCACCCTCAATCAATCCTTTTTAACTAAGAGTGTAGTGGAGCTTTCAAAGTTGGAGTGTGTCAGACCTAGAATTGATACCAAAGCTATCAATGGGAATGTTGAATTGAAGGAACCCGCGAGTTTGACACATGATATGAAACCGTCCTCTAGTAAAAGCAATGCACTCCTCATTCAACAATTCATTGGTCAATTCGCCATCGATCCTGAACAAACTATTTTTGACGCGATTCAAAGAGGTGTGATTAAAGAAGATGCAGTCTCGGTTTCAAAAGTATTGTTTATGACTACCGAGTTGGATAAGAAACAAATCGGATCATACCTTTCACGTATAGAGAATGTGAAGGTTTTGAAAAGTTTTATAGATCGGTTCAAGTTTCACCATTGTCGGATTGATGATGCATTAAGAGTGTTCATGCTCTCCATTCGATTACCCAACGATCTTCAAGCAGTTGAAGTTCTCTTGGCTACATTTGCTTCACAGTGGTCAGCTGTGAACCAAGCGATTGGAATCTCACAACCTTTGGCACTTCGACTGATCAAAGCACTTTTCGGATTAAATGATGCATTACACACTAGTTTACATGATTCGACTAAATATGTTACTAATGCATTCTCACTACCACATGGTGCAGCTCATAGTCCTCAACATTTTATTGAATTCTTTAAAGCCGAAAATCAAATGAATCAATCATATAATTCTAGAAGATCAATGGAATCATCAGAAGAAGAATTCGAACCTGAAAAGATGATTAGTGATGAGAAATTAGAGATCTTATTGAATAAAGTATATGTTTCAGTCGCAAGAGATAAGATTGTACAAGCCAAAGCCACTGAAGATGAAACTGAAGCTATCCTCGTGACGAATTCGATTGCCGAAAGTGATCCAGAAGGAGGAGGAGCCATGAATACGTTTCCGAATCGATTAACCTATATGATTGGATCTGATCAAATCACATTTACAATACCTGAAATCGATTCACATTTTGGGATCAAGTTGTTTAGTACCGGATTGAAATTTGAACCACCATTCTTGACGTTTTCGAGATCTAGATCTGCATCTTTTAAGATTATTGGTAGATCACTTGGGATTTGTCATATTACGTTTATCAAGATCGGGTCTAGAGCATCTAAATATGTTGGATTACCTTATTCTAAACCGATCTTAGTGGAAAGAGCGTTCATGAAAGATACATTACAGATTTCATTTATGAATCATTTGAAAACCAAACGAAAATATTTGTTTAGTTTTGAAAGTTTGGAATCAAGAGAATCATTTTTAGAAGTCATGGAATTTTCACAACATCAATTAAAAGAACAAACTGAAAAGTTGGAAAGAGAAAGGAGAGTAGTGAAGAAAGAAGAAGAGGTAGCTGAATTGGCTGCATTACAAGTCTTGAGAGATACATTGATACCTAATGAAGATTTCATGCCATTGACAGTTAACCCTCATACTCATACTACCATCAGTTTAAAAAGTTCAAAACCACATTCAAAAGCTACGAATCCTAATCAATCACAATCTCAATCTCAACCCCAAGAAGATAAATCAAAAAACTTGGTACAAGAAATCAAGAAACCAAGTCGGATTCGATCGAATTCGTTATCCGAAACGTATATCTATCAAAGCGGATCACAAGAAAAAGATTTACAATCGATAATTGTGAACAAACGAATGATTGCACAACAATTACATATCAAGAAGAAACAACAAAAGCTCCTACAGATCCATTTAAGATCGAATATTGAAGGAGGTAAATTAGGTTTGAATCCATATTCGATTTCTTTGGCTAATCATCATAAATCATTCAATCATTTGAATGGTGCAAGTCATCAGATCAATAAGACTTTGGAGGAAAAAGATGAAGTCGAAGTTTATTTTGAAAAGTTTTGGATGAAGGGTGATGAACTGATTCATCAATGTCAACAGAATAGGTTAGTGATTTTGATTGTTTTTTGTTTTGGAAATCGATGGATGATTGATTTTTTGATCCTTTTGGCGGTACGGTTTTTTTTAGTTTGATTCCATTGGTTTTAAGGTTTTTAAGTCAAGGTGTGATTATTGAAAAGAAGTCAACCAATTAATCTAGATATCTATATATATTAAAATTGATACTTTTATTGAATCAGGACTGATTTAAATTAATTTCATTCATCATGAGAGAATCCATACATAATGATAAAGATCTGAATATATAGATAGATAGATATACAATTTATTTTGCATAAATGGTTTAATTGAATTATGTGAATGAAGAATGGACTTTTATATTTGAAAACTTTTTTTTTTAACTTGTTTAACTTTTTTAACTTGAATATCTTTTTTTTTTCTGCTCACTTTTTTTTCCATACTGATCGTGTTGAACAATGTTTTTTTTTTTTTGCTTTCCTTTTCTTTTGGGGTGTGTTTCTTCTTACATAAACTTTGTGAAAAATTAAATGGTTATGAAGTCTTTTTGTTCTGTTGGTATACGAAAGTTTAATTACTAAAGATAATTCTATAAATATGAGAAATGAGAAATGAAAAAAAAAAAGTTAATGATGATGTAAATATTAAATTGTATAACTTTTTTTGATTTGTTTGATTAATGATTTTTTCTTTGGTATGAAAACGAAATTGAAAACATCAAAAAAAAAGTAATCATAAAAAGTATCATTTAAAAATTGTACTTTTTAAAAAGAGAATTAAAATGAATTATTTTCCTTAAGAAAGGGAATTAAAATGAATTATTTTCATACACTCTTTGAAACCTTCAAAGGATTTGATAATTTTCTCTTCAAAAAGTCATTCAAGTATGATGAACTGAGGGAGGCTCAGATGTGTTGGATGACTTCTTGTTTTCTTTACGATTGTCTTTGACAGCTTTCAGAGTCATCAAGAATCTGTATTGTTAACAAGACTATTGATCTGATGGTACAAAAATGAGAAAATCAAATTGAATTCTTTCAAAGAAATAAAGTTTTGTCTCAACTCTTGGCTCTTGGGTGAAGTTTTAAATTTCAATCAAGTAGAGGTATACAGAACCTTTTGACTTTCTCCTTCACGCTAAATGCATGATCATTCATATGCAAAAAGTAAGCTAGAAAAGAGAACATGATTGATATGCAAAAGAAAAAAAGTTAAAATTCACCTAACACACTCACACACACAAGCACACGGAAAGTAGTAAAGTCCATTTGACATTGACACAGAAGAACAAAAAGAAAAAGAAAAATTAGAAAAAAAAAGAAGTTATACATTGAGTTTGATTGAAAGTTGTGTATTAGGAAAAAAAATGAGCATTATGTCTTCTTCAGTTATCACTACAAAAAAAAACGATCACCCAGCCCACTTCATTCCTTGGGGCCTACTATTTCTTGAATGGATTACTTGATACGCCGCATGTATTGCTGCTTGAAATATCACGGTAGTGATCAAATGACTGTATCATGTTGGTCACTGGATATCTCACCAGGCTTGTGCTTCACGGCGTGTTGAGGTTGACATGCCACGTCCCAAAAGAGTCTTTGTGTGTGATGGGATGCTAGATGTCCGTGATTCAACTGTATTCACTACCACTCGTTCGGGGGAAGTCGAAGCGAGTTGTAACAAGTCTTCAAATGAAGGTTCGTAGCATGGTTTCACACTGCCAGAGTTCAAATCCGGTGCATGACTTAAGCCGAGCCATTCAGGCTTCAAAGCATTACTCGATATCGAATTTGCAGAGCGTGAAGAATGTTGTGATGAGGTTGAAAGAGGAGGAGCTACTGTGGCGTCGTTGGTGTCTTTCGCCACAGGACTCGGACTACGATTCCTGTTCATATCAAATAACCGACGAGAAGTAGCCGCTTCGTCCGGGATGGTTTGCGCAGAAGGGGTAGATGTTTCAGGAGCCGGCCTGCGTGTAGGACTAGGTGAACCAGCGGCGAGGAAAAGCATCAGCTCAGCTGCATTTGCTTGAGCCTCTTCTTCTTCAAGTTCTGAAAGAGACTTGGTGGGGTGATGCGATCTGTTAGGCACGGGAGATCCTTCTGGAGTAATTGATCGTTGGCTGGTGGTCATGTCAGAGTAAGTACCACTGGTCGATCGGAGTCCGGGTGGACAGGATCGAGGCCATCCTAGAGGAGAAGCTGAATACAGTGAGGATGAGGACGGAGCGCGTGAGAGAGATCTCAAGACGTTGGCAGCGTTGAGATACTCTTGAGATCCAGTGGGTGTGACGGGTAGTCCATCTGGTGTCTGGTAAACATCCTCAGGTAATGAACGTTTGAGGGACGGTTGACTGGCAGGTGGATCACGGTAGATGTGTCGGAGCACAGGATCGGTCAACGGAAGTGAAGCATGGCTAAATTCCCGAAAAGTTGGGGGTGTCACAGAAGGAAGACGTCGCCAGGCTTGATGGACCACACTGTGGCTAAAGGGACGGTCTGGGGTAACAAAGGTGGTCGGGGCCGGATTAGTCGACTTTCGAGCGCGTGGGTGAAGCCTGTCCGGAGAGACATTTTGGGCCAAAGGAGTGTTGTTTGAGCGTTGCTGCTGTTCGGCGATATGCATCATGTAGGGTTCGATGACATCAAAAGTAACATTGTGTAAGCCGCGGGCAGCTTTAAAACTTGCAAGGCTGAGACGCGTCTGCAAAGCACGCGTAGCCTGTGAGGTAGGAAGGATCGGATCGGATCAGGGGCGAAATGGTAAAGATTCGAGCGTGATGATGACGTAAAGAAAACAAATGAGTGAGTCAGTTCAATGTTCGTAACAAGCATCAACATGGTATACAACATCAGGCTGGGTAACCGATTTGCTGAGATGTGAGAGAAATGCTGTGGAGACAACGGGCGGAGCCGAATGCCAGTAGGGAGTGATCGATATACACATGGATGTGTATCACGCAGCTCCTCATTGGAAACACAACCGCCGAGACCCTGAAGAGAGTCAGGTGCAGATGGGGATATTCCTGGGCTGAATCGGAAAGACGGACAGGTGAGGATGAACGATGCACAGCAATCCAATCCGCATGAACCCCATCAACTCCATATCGACCGCGGATAGAAAGGAGGCGATGTGGTATGTATGTAGAGAGTTACAGAGAGACAGTATGCAATACAGTTGAAGAGGGGTACTGTAACAGGTGGTGGTAATACGCACGAGACAAAGCCCAGTCGGTCGGAAGAGTCACGCGGGGCGCGTGTTTGGTCGAGTACACATCAACGCATGCTGTACCCCCTCACTCTCCGCCACGGTAGTCCCAATGTAGCTTGATCTTTGGACTCCTCACTGACCCACCAGTTAGGGCGTAGTTGCTGTACCCCAAGGAGAAAGATAGGTGCAGGTAGAGAGACAACCGAAGCAAAGATAGGGATCCTATGAACCGAAGCGCTGTGATACCACTGACAGATCGCTTCACGCGGCACACGCGAAGTCAGCGTGACCGAGAGGGTTTACCTCGACATCGTGGCAACCACGCTTCTGTTGCGCGTGATCCACTCATGGCAGAGTGATGAGAGAAAAAGAAGGAGATAGAGGAGAGAGAAGCAGGAAAGAGGAGACGAAGAATGACGCGATGAAGGGGTGCCAAAAGAGATGAGAGAGAAACAGAGGAAAATGATACGAATCCGACACGCTCTAAGGAACATGAAATGAGACTAACCTTTGAAAGTCGCACTCTTTTCAAGACTCTCTCTGACATGAGTTTTCGATCTGCATTGCTGGAATCTAGGCTAGAAACATCGATATGAGAATGTTGGAATGCCATGTTGGTCTGTTGATAGGTATTGGTGAATTGATGGTAAGTCGAACTTCCGAAGGCCAAAGAAACCGATTGGGAAGGTCAAGGTAAGCTAAAGCGCGCCGAGAATGAAGCCTTAGCGAGAGATAGAGGTGTGGATGAACAGATTCAATGGTTTGGATGTAGGTGATGATTCGGGATAGTATTCAAGAGGAATCAAACGCAGGGATGATGAATGTGTGAGAGGTTAGAGGTGAACTCGAGAGAGGAATGTGAGTTGATTGGGTAAAATCGAAGATACGATGAGTTCTAGATTGAGTCAGAGTAAGAACTGAAAGAATTATAGAAGTTAAGAGTAAAAGGACGCGAGTGAGCTGATGGTTGAAGTCGCGCCGAAGTTGATGAGATTGAGGAGGGTGTCGCTTGAGTGAAGTTGTAAGAGCGAGTTACCGAAGTTTGGTATGAGATCAGATGAGTGGTGGGTCGAAGTTCAACTTTCCTGAAGCCACGCCGGACTTATACAGAGTTGTAGATGAGTTCACAGTCGCAGTCAAACAAGAACAAACTCGAGTTTTAAATATGTATGTCTGGTCGAAGGGGTTTTCTCATTAGATAGGGAGAGGAGAAAGATAGAGAGGTGTATCTATGGTGAGAGCAAGAGAATGATGGGTACAGGACTACACAGAGATAAGAAGTTAACAGACAGCCGCAAGATGACACGCACCAATCATCTGATTTGTACCTGTACTACTACCCTATGTTACGTTGTACCCTAACCGTAGATGGTAATTTTTAGTTCTTGGCAGTTGCCGAAGTCAGATGGCGATGAAAACACGAGCGCGGTATCTATGTGCGGTAGCCCTCCGATCTACTCCGATATAGCGCCGGTCTCTTTATTTGAGCGGTGCCGCGAAGAAGGATGTGGGAATGATGATGTTCATGGTCGAACTTTGGCATCGCGCGTAGCCGTGATTGTTTCATTAAAGTGCGCGTGACGATCCTCGCTTTCAAAGTCTCAGTGCTCCTAGTATGTCTTTTGCAAGGGTTGATGATGTGTAGCTAAAGAACCACCTGAAATCAACATGGCCCTCTAAGATTTGCTGACGTATGTGTATATATCTGTTTGTTTGTCAATCCCATTGAGAGCATGAGCCCCTTCCAGCTCCCCTTCCCCCTGATGCCTTGTCGCTTCATCTCCTCTCGTCGCGTCAGGGGCCGACCTACCCACTGAGGTAGATACCATCCTTTCTGACCTCAAGATTGGCCCTTCTAAATATGTACAGACTTCGAAGCAAAGAAGCCACGACTTCGGCATGAATTATGTACTCGATCCTATCCTATAGCGTATTCACACCTATCCACCAATCTTGATCGATTGATATGAATCATGTTTAAGTAAAGGGTTTGTGCATCATGTCTATAAGTGTCGCGCGTAGCTTTCTTGATAACACCAGCTCACCTAAGCTTTGGAATTCTGGTGACCTTGACCTGGCGCATGACGCAATCTAGTTAATCATTGACTTTATATACTCGCTTGATCGAGTGTAAGAGCGATTCAAGCATACGTGTTGTGTACTGTGTATTCAAGTAGCCTGCGTTTCTCGGCTTTTGGTCTTGTCCTAAAACCTTACAGAGTCAAATGTGGTTTCAAGTTCAGGCAAACTTTTTGAATGTCAAAAATCCAATGTTGACTCACGACTTGCGAGCCAACTAGCTAGTCAAGTCCATGGTCATGGCCATATTGGGTACCTAAGTTTGATTGCAGAAATGTCAAGCACTTCAGTGCCCTGCAGTTCAAACTCGTATATCTGTCATCTCTAACCCCATCACCAACCTTGGAAAACCGATCACGCGTGCTTGCTTCATGATCAAAAAAGCGACATTAGAAACATTGAATCATACCCCATCGCCTTGTAAATTTCGAAAACTTATTGTACGATGGAGCCAGTGGTATAATCCGAATGACATTAGATCTTTCGGCAGTTTCAACTCTCAAGGAGCAGACTCATGTCCCGATGAATTGGCAGGGACCGACATTTGCTGAAGCAAAACAGGGGGCGTTGTTTGGAAGTTGATCAGTAACGCGTCGCAATTGGACTCATACCCAAAAGTTAAAGGTCGATCCTAATTGAAACTAAGATCACAGCTAGCAACTCCCGCTTTAATTTACAAATTTTACTGCCCTTCGTGGAGACTTCTTCGCTTATTCGGTCATGTACATAATACATACTTTGTCAAGCCGGCTGGACGGTATAGTTCCTTAATAAGATTCATTTCAATCATCCAGGGTTTTTACGTGTTAGAAGGAGGTGGGGCGAAAATCCTTTTGCTCAGTGATACGCGATGATGAAAGAAAAATCCTTCTACTGTTGACGTTCAAGTGAAAAACGCAAAAACATGAAAGTTGACGGACAATCAGTGTCACCAATCCTAACAAATTTTACACAGGTGCTGAATGTTATGAAGGGAATATCAAAGGCGTACAATGTATGTACAGTCGTTTTCAAAAAGCTTGTCACAATTTCACTGCCAAATCGCTCGAGTTTTACGGGCAAATTTGGACAAGCTTTTTGCAAATGACTGTATATGCTCCGGCTGATAGGTCAAGTTTTTGGAAGGAAGCTACATTTTCTTCTTCGACGTGTCGGTTTACTCAGTTGAAGTTCAATGAGTATTTGGGATCATGTAATTTCTTTGGGAATAGTTGAGAGGCTCTTTCATGGCTAAACCCTCCCTAGGTTTTCTTGCTATTTACAAGATTAAACACGGGCAATGTGAATTTTACATTTATTTATAGGGTATGTGAGCTCACGATGCTAGACCTGGTCAGTTCAGGTCAGGCATAGATGTCTCATAATGGTCACCAACCGGACCTTACATCGCACAAAATGGTTTGTTGGTGTGAATTGATGGTGAACAAGGTTAGTTCAAGAAAAGCGGATAGCATCTACATACATATCCTGAACTCTCTCCTCTGAAAGCCTCTCAGTTAAGTAGAGGATTGTTTCCAAAGAATTCAATAGAAACCCTTATCTACAATGTCAGTCCTGATGGCTTTAAAGTTGTTTGAAAAGCTATGTAATCCGCACCGAGGCAAGAGAAATGAGCGTTTGGACCAAATTTTCTGGCTCTGATAGCTTGAGATGCCCTTCTGCATCTGGTCACACTAGATTCCAATGATCCTCTGGAGCCATCAGTAGGGGGATGTGGATAAATATTTTCCCATAAAGATGTGTCCATGTTGCTAAACAAAGCTTAAATAGTGGGGTTCAAGTCAACCAAAAATTGTCCAACATTTTATGCGCTTTGGCCACCCAGCCCTTGAAGTTTATTTTTCAGGAAAATGAATTACAGGAATGTGCTTCCAAGGTGAGGCTTTATGATTTTGTTTTCCAAATTTAGAGTTTTCGAGTAGCATTTTGATGTAGGGACAGTTGTATTTTCGACATTTTTCCGACTTGAACCCCGCTAATCTGGTCAAGAAGTAATTAAACAAGAACCCAAAATATTTCCTGTTCTTTTTGACAAAGGATATTACATTTTTGAACTGAGAATATGCATCTCAAGAAAATAGCAAAAAAAAGAATCATACAAAGGGTTCATACATTTTTCTAAGAAATCCAGATTTCAAAAAATGTGACTATGTGATGATCAAACTCAAGTGATTTTTAAGAGTCTCAAGAGTTTTAGTTTTTTTGTCTTTTATTGAAAAAACATTTGAAGAAAGAATTTGTGATTTCAACTTGAAGATTATTCATATTGTTAGGAAAACTGCTGGATCTTTTGAGTTGATTTCTGTTTGAGAGAAAAGTAGAAAATGAATAAATCAGTTATGTATGATTCTTCTATTCTTTTGAAGTGAATAAAAAATGACCAACCATCCAATAAAGGTACAAAGCACATCTTAAGTCCAGATGAAGTATATATGGCTCTAATCTCAAATTGATCAGAATATTGATTTCCAAGTGTAACATAAGGTTTGCTCATATCAATTCCGGTAGTGCTAAATGTAGGATTATTGAAATCAAGACTTTCGATTTGTTGAAATAAATTTAATTCTTTATTGAAGTTTTGTTTACAATTTGAATTGTTTGTTAAATTTCTTGGTGGAATTGAACTCATTATAGTCATCAATCTTTCACATCTTGGTAATAATTTTTTTGAACGACCATTTAAGCTTGATGATTCGGTCGTTCTGAATAAAAAGATTATGAGGATTGAATAGATTAAGAATTTTGGTGAGGTTTGAGTCATGGTCTTGGTAGGTGTTAGGCTTCGGATAAGGTGTGGTAAAGGTTCGAAGTTCTCGAGTCAATTGAAAGGAATAATTATACTATCAAAGTTTGTGAAAGAATATTTGATGAAGATGATCAGGAGTAAGGATTGTATGTATGAACAATCTCCTTGCTGATAGGAGACCGAGAGCCCCATCAATGCCACGTTGTTTTCATGCAATTTCTCGTTTCTGGGTAACATAATGATATCGCCGTGATGGACTGGAATAATCATAATGTAACGATCCTTCAGGAGTTCGTTCAGCTGTAGACCAAAGATCATACGACCAAGAAGGCCATCCGGGCTGATCGAAATTCGCACCGTCATATTTGTTGAATTCGTCAAGCTTAGTTGAGACGACGACATTAAAGGACAGGTGACAAGTCATAAAGTCGTCATCACCATGCTTCGTCGTGTCGATTTATCATAGAAAAGAGATACCATGTCTCGCAGCTGTGCAGTTTGCTCGAAGTCATGAGAATCTGGGTGATCGCATTCTAGCTTAACTATTCGAGTTCGTTTCCTTGATTGGATTTTCAACCCACAATGCACACGTAGAAGCGGCTCATTCCTGCTAACAATCGGCTTGATCCTTTTTGGTGTGAGATAATCGGTCGCCCACTTGAGAAAAGAAATGCTCCCTGCTTTACGCTATATGAGCATAGCACAACTGAGCAGAAGCCAAACTTATATAAGTCCACTCGCTCTGGCCCCGTCGGTACAAGTACCACGTACCTCCGAGCGCCAGCGAGGGACTTACGCCTAATCCCAAATTTCTCGCGTGAGACTAGACAGGGCTTTTGCCCAAAAACTCCAATCTCACTTGCTCAATATTGGTGCTTATCAACTTGTGACAAGCACATAATGAAAATGATGCGCACTAATGCCTTCGTCATTTTGGCACCCTCCATTTCCCAACGGCCCATCAGGGGGTCATGATGAAGCCAAAAAACACTTTGGCACCAACACCGGGGCCAAATTGGTTTACATGTGCCACCATCGCTGCGCGTCAGAAACGATGGTGCTCGCGAGATAAAATCATTACAGATCAAACAGCAGTTTGCTTTACCCAAGCAAATTCATAATGCATTGCCCATGATAGAACTCGAATACGCCATCCAGACAACCAGGGGAATGCTGAGCCTGGATATGACAAATATGTTTTGAATATGCATGATCACCCCACGGATTCTTTAATGACGTACAATACCTTGTTCACACCGGGTGCGACAGCCCCATCCATCCTTCAGCCAGAGTGATTGGCTTCGGTGGCCAGCTCATCAGCATTGATGTTGAGATCATCTGCCTGAGCAAAACACCCAGGAAAGTGTGAATACCAGTGCCTATTCCTAGATGTAGCGGAATATATGCTCACCTGGTCCTGGATAAAGGCTCGCCAGACCGCTTCTCCGTTTCCCGCATCATATATCACCGCTCGCATTTCCATCAGGAGATTTCGAATCAAAGTCCTGGACTCCTCGGTGTTCCCTCGCAGATCGTGTTGTTGGGGCCTTCGACGGAGGAACCGATGGTCAAGGAAGGTAAAGATAAACCCCCAGACACTCATCGAGCTGGCTTCGATGAAGTGGATGATCTCAACCGTCCGGCGAAAGGAATAGCTGGTCGTCAAAGCTTGCTGTTCGGCGACAGAACTGGGATAAGGACCACCACCAACTGCGTCCACAAATGTTTGGACACTCAAGCCTTCATCTTTGATGAAGCCGGTGATCCTGCCTACAGCACCTTCCAAGTCGAGCAGTGGGTCTTCGTACGGATTCATTGGCCACAGGTAGGTGCAGAACGTCGTCTTTGGGTCACGGTGCCAAGATTGAAGGAAGGGTGGATGGTTTGATCGGATGGGAACTTTGGACAGGCACTTCCCCTTCAAATGGGGTTCAGATATCTCTCGCTCCGAATCAGGTTTTGGCTCGTGTTAATGAAACCTGGCACTCATATCACAACTCTTTCGGATTCGAATAGTGTCAAACCTATCCGGTTGGGAGGCCTTGCACTATCGCGCGAAAGGTTTATTTTTGCTATAATGTTAGTATATTCCCCTGGTAAGTTTCACCAGGCCTGCAATCCCAATCGGGACTCATTGAACTTGGTATCTCGATATTTTGGGACATGACGGCGGCAGCTTCGGCCGACATGTGAGGTTTCGACTGGCGAGGTCGTATTTGCAGCCACAGGGGGTTTAAACATTGCGCACACCCGTTCATTCGGACTCAGTGGGCACGATGTATCTGATCAATATGAGACAACTAGTAAAGCACGAGCAATCCTGGATGAATGGACGTGCTTGAATCCCCATCTCCTGGTAGATGTTCCATGCTAGGTGTCATTGCAAAGAAAACAAAGCGATAGGAGAAAGTGTCACATGGCTTTTATAAGTTGATCATTGTGCTACGTGATCGAGAGAGAAAGGACCTCCAGATTCCCATTGGCCTCATCGCAGATTCGCGGTTGCCGAAAGTCTTTGAGATCGTTAGATTGCCCATCGGAAGATGCCTGAGGAGTCAAATGAGGACGAGGCCAGCACACTCGCTCGCACTCTCCTGGTGTGCAAATACCTCACCACGCTGGATTTGACACCAAAGCAGTTCATGGTCACCTTCATGTCTTCTAACCACCCCGATTTAATCTTTCGAAGACGCATGATGAAAGTGGGCAAGGCTTTCAAACAAACCCGTTCGATTGTCCGGAATTTCGGTCGTTTGTCACGAGGTTGCGCACATGGCCAAGCCAATTGGGAGTCTTTGATTTTGGAAGAGGTTAGTAATTTATAGCCTCTAACTGATTGAAATCAGGTTTTCATTGACTCAATGGCTACTGCACATACCTATGTCAGGCCACCGATATCGTCAATGCGCAAGACCTACCACGGGGGCATTTTCCAGGCGGAGCATATGTCAGTTCCAGAAGGATTACCCCGGACTATTTCAGCAACAGTTCAGAAATACTACGAGACTCCCAAGTGACAATGGGTATGAGCTTTCTGCACTCACTGCTCAAAAACAAGCTGGCGTTCGGAATGAATCAAGTGCCCCCCGTCACTGACGACAAGGGCGAAAATGTATGTGACCCGATGGATGAATCACAAACTGCCAGCAATGCGGGGGTAACACGTGGCCTTTTGGATGCACGTGGAACTGTGTTCAATGATCAAGAAGATGAAGGAACAGTTATGTCAATGGAGAACATGGTTTTTGTTAAGGCATCGGCCGCGGATCAAAAAGCCCTCAAACTTACCAAGGCAAGCCCCCTCTGAACGCTTTTGCTGCAAAAGTTCAACCGCTGATTTTGCGCCAAACGGCTAAGACAGCTGCCCATCATGATATGTTCGATGATCGCGCAGTCTTGCAACCGCCGTGCCAACGCTCTCCCTTTGGCAAACAGCCTGATGGCGTACGCGGGCGGGGTGTCAGTACGAGTGAATGAATGGCTACATAGCCATGGAATCACGCTATCAAGGAAATGCACGCTATCAGCCATGGACCATCTACGCTCTTTACAAGAACAGCGGATGATGGACGTATTTAAGAGGAACCAGAAACTCTTACCGTTATTGGTGTATGACAATGTTGACATACATTTAAAAATACACAACACACGTGTGGAGACGTCGTCTCGTCTATTCCATGGAACCTGGGGGTTCTATACCGTAATTCGCGCGTGTCTTCAGGCGAAATGTACCAAAGATGTGGTTAGCCTCGCGGCTTTCCTGGACGCCATGTCTGCCGCAGACCGAAAGACGGTTGGAATCGAATCTTTTTGCCCTAGGCCGGCGGAAGTCGAACATTGGCAAGCGGTGGTCAAGGCCCAAATATCAAAAGCGCTGAAAGAGTATGTTGCTTACATACCAGGTGCGCCCGAGGCCAGCCTACTGCCGGCGCTGTCAACTCGCCCGCCTGCAATTGACCCAATCGAGATGCACGTACCCAACATTTTCCTCCGCATGATGGACGCCCCCGATTCATCTGCAGAGGGCGTCTCGCGGGTGCTGGATGAAGTGATCGCACAGATTGGCCTTGACAAGGCCAAATACGCTGAGAGCCTTTTGGTGGCCGGTGGCGATGTTGGATCCAACCAATTGTTGGAAAGTCTTCGAACTAAGCGGTTCCCTTCAATTGATTCGGTGGAGGGAATGCAATGGGTATTGTCAATATTCGGTGGGGCCCATACCATGTGGAGCTTCACAAAGGCCCTTTTAACTCACCATTGGGGACGCCCCGAAAACGGACAAGATTCCGGAGCCTGGAGGACCTTATTTGCTTTGGGCGCCAAATACAAGAAGCCCCCTGCCTCTCAGGACTTCAACACGATCATGCGCTCATCTCGAATGCTTCACCAAGCCAACCTTGTTCATGCGATCACGTGAGTTTCGTCTTCACCACGCCGTAAGCGTTTTCCAAGGGCGCTGACGAGTCAGGTTGTATTTCAGCCATACTTTAGCGAAGGATGCAACACTGGACCTGAGCATCGCTGTTGACTGTCAGCGACTCATTGATCAGGTATGGCATGACTTCTTCGATGGGACACAGTTAGCTGCAGCAAAGGACCTCGAAGACCCGACTCGACATAATCTGATGTTGCGACTGCGTGATTTCGCCACTGTTGTCGAAGCGCACGAGGCCACACGTGCAGGCGATATTGGCCGGCTCATGCTAATGTGGAAACAATGGTCGGTAATGGCGCAAGGAATTCAGGGGCTATCACATTATTCCAGGCACATTCCACGGATTGTATTGCTATTGGAAGAAGACTTACCTAAGGACCTTGCGAATGCTATCAAGCATTCGCTCCTGATCCCTTCCAATGAACGGGCGGACCATTGGTTACCCACTGATGAATTCCTCGAAATCAGTATATTCTACCTAAAACGCGTGTATAATAATACGGTGAGCACTCATCCGAATGGTCACAGCCGGGATACACGATCATCAGCTGACCAACAAACGATTTCGAAATGTAGGGGCATGGCACCGACATCCGACGCCTCACTGATCTGATCTCAAATTTGATCCCCATGGTGTGTCTAAACGGAAACGTAGCAATATGATGAATTGCATGACTAGCTGACCACTTTGATCTTTCGGCACTTTCAGCTACGCAAACTAATGCACTTGTTCAAAACACAATCGGGTCACACGTTGTTATTCCAACCTAACCTCAATCATATCACCGGCCCATCACTACTCTCGTTCCTCGCTTACGCCAAAGATCACTTGGAGGATGCACCTGGGCGACGAGCATTGGCATCTGTGGGAAATGTCTGGAAAATCGGCGTGGGTACGATGATCAAGCTAATCCGTGCTGACCAAGCCGCAGGTCGCAAGTCGCGCTTCCGGTGGGGGGCAGCCGAGGTCCTGTCGTCATGGGACGCTCAGTGTGCTGAATTCCCAGGAGAGGAATGAACCTGACAAAGTAGCAAGTTATCTCAGTTAACGTTTGAAAGCGCCCCCAACCAATATCCCAATGACCAAATAAAACTCTTACATGAGAATCTGCGCCCCTTTTGGCCCTTTTGCACAACGGGCGAGGTGCTGGTGGCACCGCGGTTCTTTTAGACGCGGCTGCCTCTCGCTTCGCAGCGGCGGAAGCCGCTGTGGACTCACGCTTCGCAGCCATGACAGCCTGGCGGGCTTGTTTCGCCTCGTCACGCAAACGTTGCCTTTCGATTTGACCTTGTTCTTTCAGGGCCAAACGGCGCAAATCGGCTTCCAGCTTATCCTGGGCCTTTTTCGCCGCGGCGGCGACCTTCGCATTGGCCTTTAACTGAGCTGCCTTCCTTCTCTCATCGAGTCTGGCTTCTTTCGTGGCTATCTTGTGGGCCTCCGCGCGCAGTTTCGACATTCGAGCCCCTTCGACCGAGAGGATAGGTTTAGGTGGCCCCCGAGAAGCAGCCAATCTGCGTTCGCCTGCTTTGGTTATCAAAGCGTCTGCTGGAGAGGCGGCTTTCCATTCTTCAAAAGCGTCAAACAGGCACTGGAATTGGCCAGGGATGCATTCGGTTACCAGGACAATCGCAATGTCCTCTGGGTGCGCAAGTATGTCGACGTTCTTGGCCAGGACCCAAGCAAGTTCCTGGCCAAAGAAGTCGTCAGGTGTCAGGTGACTAGGTGAAGGGTAGTGAGTCCGCCATAAACCGGCGAACGAGTCGGTCCATCGTTTTACTAGGCTGATCATCAGAGGGCATACCAAAATCGGGTCTTCTGAACCGCAAGGAATCGCCACGTGCCTTGTGTCTTTGACCAGGTCCGGGGGCGGTTCAGGCAGACTATCTGCAAGTTCAAGGAGCTCGTCTGCATCCATTTCGAGGGCGGAGTCGAAGTTTTCAATGGTCAGGGCAGATTGGGAGAGCCAGAGGGCTTCCGCCTCATCAGGCTCACAGTTCGAGCAGTCGCACTCGGGCATGTTGGCCTCACGTTGACGGGCCTCTTCATTTCGTACCACCCAGCTATCGTCATCTAATGGAATGTAACCATGCCTGAGAACGATATGCATCAGGATGCATCCACCATAATTGAGGTTGCCTGAGATATCACTCACCTGAGGTCAACGGCTAGGGCTACCCTTAGACACACAGTGGTGATAGCCAAAGCGTCCATTCGGTCGTCGTCGGACATGAGCGCTGTCGAATCGAAATCCTCAATTGAGTTCTTTCCGTTTGTTCAACAGTGTTCGACCAATAAGATTCCTAAACCTCTCCGCCCATCACGCCCACACCTGCCTGACATCTGGATGCAGTTACAGGGGTCTTGGCGTCCCACTATTACCACCCGTCGTACACGACTCCAATTCTGGCCCAATCCCAGGGCCAGCGTGCAGCAAATAACGGCCAGCGAGCAAGCAACAAACACTACACCAAATGTAATCTTTACCGGGCGGTAAAGAAAACTACTGACATAGAAAAGTCCTGAGGCAACAGGAAGAGAGCTAAAAATCTGAAAAAATATGCACCTTGTTCCTAGATGTTGGGGCGTCATGATGAGTATTTTTTTGTATTTTACACGCAGATATTGGTTAATGTACTAACAATAAAGGCTGAAAATCATCAAAAACCCACCTGTAACAATACCTGAAATTTGGGTCATGATTATAAAGACAATATTTTGTGGTCTAAAAACTTCAATAACTTTTGCAATTCTGCTCCAAATAACTCGATTTTTGGTTCATTCAAAAGCTGAACCATTCTCCTTTACACTTCATAATGTCAGCAAGGTGCTATCTAGTCATTTGAACGCTCTACATATGTCCAAACAGTTCTGCATGAATAGCTCTGTAGGACCTTCTTCAGACGGGCTACAGATGTGATGTCTCAATGAAAAATGTAGAGCAAAGACTCACCTTTCCAATGAACCAAAAATCGAGTTATTTGATTCAGAACTGCAAAAGTTATTGATGTTTGAAGATTTCAAAAACCTGTCTACAAAATCAAGGGCCAAATTTCAGGTATTGTTACAGGTGGGTTTTTGATGATTTTCAGCCTTTATTGTTAGTAAATTAACCAATATCTGCGTGTAAAATACAAAAAAATACTCATCATGACGCCCCAGCATCTAGGAACAAGGTGCATATTTTTTCAGATTTTTAGCTCTCTTCCTGGTGCCTCAGGACTTTTCTATGTCAGTAGTTTTCTTTACCACCCGGTAAAGATTACATTTGGTGTAGTGAAAGGCCTCGACTGCGGCGATTTTTGCGTTATCGCCCGTGGTCGCGTGGTAACGCCTAGCAAACTCGGATCGGCCATTCACAGCTTCCGCCGGTTGACCACGTGCCGCATTGATCAGCTCCAAATAGTCTAACGTGCCGTTTTGAGTGCCAGAGTAGATGAGAGTCGGGGGTATATCACAGGATGGTATCAAAGTGTGATGGGCGAAGAGTGTGCGTAAGGATGATTGCAGCGGCCGCTTGAAAGTGCGCCGGATGAGGCGTAGTTCCGGCCGGCAGAGTTCGGCACGTACGAAGCGAACATCCCTCTCGTCGAGTTTGAGGTTGATGAGGATTGTGCTAGTTGCCTGAGGTGTACAAGTAGCCGACATTAGCAAAAGAGGAACCCTATCGGAACCAAGGAACCTCCTGGCCAGCTGGCCGTAGGACGGGTGAAACGCTCCGCCATCATGGACCCGAGTCCAGCTGGCCATTTTTTTGGCTTGGCCACTCTCGACGAGGCCCCAAGTATAGACCATGTGGGCCTCGTCGACCACATTGAGTACCAACCAAGTCTGAAAACGCGGGTCCGTCCACATTCGATCGAAAATGTCGCTAGTCAACGCGACTTCTGGGCTCTTATACCACCAAATGAGACCATGATATGTCAGTCTACAAAATCTAAGCACGGAAGTAAGGCGAGATTTAATACCACATAGACAAATGTGTAATGTCCTTGAAGAATTGCATTACATGTTTCCTTTGTGCAATTGGCCCCGGTCAAATTGATGCCTTTCAACTTGACGGTCAGTTTTTCGCTCACCTGCCCACAGGAACAAGTACGGTTAGCCTGGTGCACAAAACGTAACGGTCTCCCGGCGTCCGAACTCACCTGATCATCCCCTAAAGCATCGAGTGGGTTGATGCTTAGCAGTATCGGTGCATAGTCCTCTGCATACGCCAGATAGAATAGTTCAGGGACCCGGCTTTTACCAAACCCGGTTCCAGCTAATAAAAAGGTCGTCCGACGGTTGATAAGATGTATTACCGATTCGACTTGCTCAGCTCGTGCGGGGTATCCGTATTTGACTTGGAATAACGCGCCGATGATCTTTCCTTGTTCGGCTTCAGTGATACCGATCAGCTCTGGGCGCAGTTGGGGCCGTGCATTGATTGAAGTAGCTACAGCGAGTGCAAGCTGCTGGGCGTTGGCCGCGGAGACACTCCTTCGTAACATTGGAAGGCGATTGAGGCGAGAAGTTATTAGGAACGGGTGAGTGGTATGCGCGTGTGGTGCTACTGAGTGTTGAAATCGCGAACTTGGCGAAATTTCCTCGAAGAAGGTCAAACTGCAGTTTGACTTGCCAGTTTAGTCCGTTATGTCCACCTTATTAGGGTTTTAGGCGGCGCAGTCATGATTGGGTCATGTACGGCCCCGGTGTTGGTGCCAAAGTGTTTTTTGGCTTCATCATGACCCCCTGATGGGCCGTTGGGAAATGGAGGGTGCCAAAATGACGAAGGCATTAGTGCGCATCATTTTCATTATGTGCTTGTCACAAGTTGATAAGCACCAATATTGAGCAAGTGAGATTGGAGTTTTTGGGCAAAAGCCCTGTCTAGTCTCACGCGAGAAATTTGGGATTAGGCGTAAGTCCCTCGCTGGCGCTCGGAGGTACGTGGTACTTGTACCGACGGGGCCAGAGCGAGTGGACTTATATAAGTTTGAGCAGAAGCTGGCAAAGCAAACATATGAGTTCGATGTCCAGAAATCTAAGTGAGACTGGTCACTGGGCACGGAGCGCGCTTCTACATACGAGAATAGGTTGAGAAGTTGCCTCACTGTGACGTAGCCTCGACGAACGATGTGTAATCCAACTTGCTGTGCTCATTACCTTCGCGAATATCTCTCATTACCATCGATCTTCGAGGATGCCTCTTTTCCCTCTCAAATGATTTCTACCTAATCACGTGGATGATCTTGAAATCCGGTGCTTCTCACATTGTTATTTTATTACTCAAAGCCCCTATCAATACTTCATCAATTAGATTCAAGTTATTTTGAGATCTTCTCTTTGTTTATAGGATTATTCTTCGATTCCTATAAATGTTTCGTCCCACCACGCCTCTTCCTCTCTTTGTACAACCTTTTATTGACTTTGAGTCAGGTGCCCTGTAGTTAGATTCTATTCTGGGGTAGATTTTTCTCTCATTGCAACTGGGGCTCTACCCCTGATTCTGGCTAAAACCACCATCATGAGTGTAGCTCGGATCACTCGGACCCCCAGACCTATTCTTATCACAAGAATTGTGAGTTGTAAAGTGATCATTGAGACGTACTACAAATTCCTTTTTGAAATGTGCATAAGCAAACCTACAAGTGGAACTTGGAGAGTTTGTTTAGATGAAAGCAAAGAATGTTTTGGGTAAAATCCCCAGAGTCAGACTACGTAACTAGAGATAATACCATCAAACAAGCATAATTCAGGCAATAACTACCATTAATGCGGCAATAATTATCATAATAAGGCATCAATCAACATGAAGAGAAGAAAAGGTTCAATAATTATCGACTAGTCTTAAGTTAAAAATGAAAGTAAAATTAGCCCCAACATGAAACACATGCCCTACTACATGCTTCTGATTCTCAAGTAATTGTAAGGCTATGTGTCCACATACATAAATCAAAAACACTTCCAATGACCAGCAACCATCTGCAAAACACTGGCTTGAGCTAAAGCCGTTCTTTGTAGCAACTTGGAAAAGCGTTTTGGTAAGTTTTTTTTGGAGATACTGTTTAAATACTGAGTGTCTTCTATTGATCTTCATAAGTTGAGAATCTTGACATCATTGATCCGTATGTAAATACCCAATGGTTCAAAGTGTTCAACCTCAAGTGTTGTGTTTAAAGTGTAGTTTTCTACATATACAGTGAGATTCCTTTATAAGCATGATGATGGTTGCACCAAATCCCATGCTAATATAAAAAATGCTTCTTATCGGAACAGACCCAATAGCAGCATAAAATGTGCTCAAAATTATGCTATGCTTAAATGTCATGCCTAGGGCCAAATTTTTATCTTTTGGCGCAGTAAATGGCCCAAATGAGTTGTAAAAAACATATAGAATCATGTATTGTTTGCAAAAGTGCAGGGAAAGAAAGCATTTGAGAAATAATTGGAGCAAACCAACTGAAGATTAGGTGTAAAACAACTTATTCAATAAGATCACACATCAGGCAATAAGCTGTGAAATGAGATTGATTGGCAAGATTATCGGGACACAGCTGAAAGTCGTAAAGATGTAACCATTCCTCTCAGCTAAGCCCAGAGGGGAGGTCTGGCTGAGAGACAAGATGCGCACAAGAAGCTGATCAACAGATGAGGTTGACATATTTTAGATGAGAAAACATATCTGTAGATATAGAAATTTGATGTTTTGAAACTCCTGAACTTGAAGGAACTCGAGTGGTGAGGGAGAAAACATGTTCTCAGTTTCTCATGCCAAACCTGGGTGCTCAGCTGTTGTCAGTTATGTACACTACAAGAAATATAATATTTTCTGGGCAGAAAATTAAATTATTGATACACAAAAATATTGAGAGGCCAGGCAAAGGGCAAAAAATAAATAAAAATATGCATCTTGTTCCCTGCGTTGAGAACCTCACTCTCCATATTTTTCCGTATTTTTACAGTCCATATTGATAAGTGTACTAACAATAAACCTTCATTATCATCCAATTACAACCTGTAACAAGCACTGAAATTTGGCTCATTAGTGTTTAGAGCTTTTGATTTCTGAGAAAACTCATAACTTTTTCAATTCCGGGCCAAAACGCTCGATTTTGAGTGCATTGGCAAGCTGGAATGGTCCTCCAAATAGTTCATAATAAGACCACACAGCATGCTGGTCTGCTAAAAAAGATATCATCTTTTTTATACATTTGCACATACAGATCCATAGAATGTTTGTCATACTAGCTACATAGTTATTGATGTTATGAAAGTTTGAGAACGGGAGTTCAGCTTTCTAATGCACCTGAAATCAAGTGTTTTGAGGCAGATTTGACAAAGTTATGGGTGTTTTCAGAATTCAAAAGTTTCTCTAAACACTTATCAGCCAAATTTCAGTGCTTGTTACAGGTTGTAATTGGATGATTATCAAGGTTTATTGTTAGTACACTTATCAATATGGACTGTAAAAATACGGAGAAATATGGAGAGTGAAGCTCTCAATGCAGGGAACAAGATGCATATTTTTATTTATTTTTTGCCCTTCTCCTGGCCTCTCAATATTTTTGTATATCAATAATTTAATTTTCTGCCCAGAAAATATTATATTTCTTGTAGTGGTAATAGTGGCTCTCAAACCTGCCCCAGTTTTCAAAAAACCCAGTTGACCCAGTTGTTTTTTGGCAGTAACTTTGTGTATCAACTTGACATTTGTTGACAGCTCCCAGCCAAAAATTCCACTGGTGCAACCAGGTTCACCATGTCTGTTTTGAGGTAGCATGTCGACGTGCTCACACCAATCAATTTCCGTAGAGGGTGGATATAACCTACAAACAGGTCTGAGAGCTAAGCATACAATTGCCTTTGTCAAGAGGTTCAGACAGCAAGAGTGTTAAATGGGCTCCTTTGTTCATAGTTCCATTGACAAACGGTACTTTTTTGATTGTCTATTATTATTAACAAAGGATTTGCATTTTCTAGAGACGAATTGGATAAAGATCTGTTCAAATTTATTACACAACTCTCCGTGTGAGCACGTTGACGTGCTCATGGGGGACGGACATGGTGGTTTTTTGAAACTGGGTCAGGTTTGAGAGCCAATAATGCTCCAAAATGATGCACCTATTGAATAATATGTACTAAAGAAACTTGGCAGCAAAAATGGACAGACATTTTTTCAATTGGTCTTGGCTTTTTGAGTCGATTCAGGCTAAACTGTACTCCACTCCACTCCACTTCGCCTTCCTTTCTCACATCACATAGAAGCATAACCACGTGTAGAAATTATGATATGCTTCTTTTTTCATGCTTCACATGAAATTTTACAAGCATATCAGTCAAAACCTGGAGCATATGCTTAAAATGCTTATAAATCTGAATTTACCGCCTACCAAAAATGGTTGCACCATTTTGTATGCTTAATAAAAAATATGCTTGTAAAGGCAATGCTTAAAAAGGAATCTCACTGTATACAGGAAAGTTGAAGACCAAAAGTGTTTTCTAAATTCTGAGTGTTTTGGATGAAATTCCGTCATCTTCACGTCATTTCACTTCACTTTGGACTTCGAACTTCATTCCACCACAAAGCCATTAACGAACAACTCAAACTCATTCACCCACCATCCATCAACATCAACATCATGATCCAACCAAATCGATCAACCTCAAATGGCTTGAAATCAAAGCTCATCAAAACCATTAAATTTATAATTTATTTCGATTTGATTCTTAGTTTTTGTTTCATTTCAAATTTGATTTTTATTTCTACTATTATCTTGATGCCTTTTAATGGTTTATTAGCTTATGAAATTAATTCTAAAATTGCTAATTTACTTTGGAAATCTATGCAATTCATCTTTGAAGGTTTAAGTTTAGGTCAAATTACTTTTTCAGGCGATGTTTTACCTGAAAATGAAAATGCGATTATTATTGGTAAAAACGAACTTTGATTTTTTCTTTTCTTTATTTTGATTTGAAGGAAGGAATGAAAAACTAATGTGTTTGGAAAAAAATTGTTTGGTTCTTTAGCTAACCATCTTTCTTATTCCGATTTCTATTTGATCGTAAGTTCTGTTCTGTTCTGTTCTTTTATAAGAGAAACTCCGATCGTAGATAGCTAATCAATCTTTATCTCGCTTGGAAATATACAGAATGGATTAGCTTTAAGAAAAGGAATGCTACCTTATTGTAGATGGTTCGCCAAGTCTTCATTGAAATATCAATTGCCCATCTTCGGATTAAGTATGTATGTAAGTCGAAGGAAACCATTCAATTATAATCAAACTCATCAGGAAATGATGCCTAAATTCAATCTCGTTTTTATCAGTTGATCGGAATGGTCATGATAACAAGGGATTGGTTAAAAGATTCAACTTCGATTAGTAAAGCATTTGCACATCTTAAAGATCCAATTGGAATCGGTAAAAGGATTTGGTTGGTTTCTTTCTTAGAAGGTACAAGATTCACACCTGAAAAACGTTTGAAAGTTAGTTCAAATCTTCTTCTTGAGAAAACAAAATCATTCTGATCAGACAACTGATGTTTTCTTTACTTTTTTGGGGGGTATTTATAGAGTCAAGAGTTTTGTCGATCGAAGGGTAAACCAGTCTTGCAACACCTTTTGGCACCTCGCACAAAAGGTTTTGTAGCAGCTGTTCAAGGTAAGTCAGGATTTTAGACATTTTGTTCCATGAGAGAATTGAACTAAACCTGAACTACTTTTCCTGTAGAATTGAGAGGAAGTCAAGTTACTCATGTGTATGGTAAGCAACCCTAACTCAAAAAGACCCCTAGAATCCTGGTCCAATAAATCTGATGATTTGTCACCTGATACCTTCATCTATCGTTTCTCAAGATTTGACATTAGCATATCGAGGACCAAAAGGTTTCAACGACCCCTCAAGCTTACTAACAGTTCACACAACTTCAAACCTATCATCAACTTATTCATATCATGTGCATGTAAGAAGATATGCTTTAAATGAATTACCTAACACTGATGCAGAACTCACCAAATGGGTAGAATCAATTTGGAAAGAAAAAGATGAAATCTTGAATGGTTTGAATGATCATTGGATTAATTGGGATGGATTGGTTGGGAATGGTGCTAAAAAAGATTCTTTGTCTGGTGCTTATGGTGTTTATCGCCAAGGGATTTGGTAATATATATATATATGTGTGTGTGTTTCTTATTTTGAGAGTTTTGTTTTTTTGTTTTAAAATAATGTAAAATGATGAGTTTTTATGTGGTGTATGGCTTGATTAGAAATGCCTCAATTTTGTTTGTCCTAGATTTCAAATTATTTAAAAGAAAACATGGTTCCTCTTCGTTTGTTCATTGTTCTTTGTCTGTTTTGGTTTATGTTGAAAAAAATGTATCATCTTTTATTAGATTGAAATAAATCTTAAAGAAGAGTGAACAAATCGTGTAACTATTGTGTTGGTCTCATTTACTAATGGTTTAAATACATCTTGTCAAAACAATTTTTTTCAGAGATTGAAAAACCAAACAAGAACGCCATTTTGTGAGCTAAGCACCAACAGGGCTATCGTGAGCTGAAAGTCGTGTTGTTCTTAAGAAGATGATGAACAGGTTTATCTGCTGTCAACTTCTGATGCATACCTCTGATGTGGGTGCCGTTTATTGTGGACCTCAGCGGTTTATGGGGACCACAATTTTCATGTTCATTTTACTCATCACATGGGACATGGCTCATTCTGAAAGCATGAAAAAATATGTCTCAGAACAGGAAGAGGTTTAGTTCATTGTTCAGTTATGATTATCATTACTAAATGTTGGACCAAGAGATAAAACCAAGAAGTATCTGACACGAAAGTCTCAATTCGACTAATAAAAATACCAAACAAACCAGTTCTCTGATATAGGGAGTAAGGAAAGAGGTGACTACAAGAAAAACACAAATGAAATCCTATTAATCAGAATTCGCGTCATGAAAGAAATTCGATCCAAACAAAACCGCTGCACTATTTGTTCTGAGCTCCACGTTCTTATTCAAGAGTCCTTCAATGACTTCGCGGCAATCTTTCGATACAGACGAAGGGATCATCAATGGGCCAGATATAATGTTCTCCGCCAAAGTCTTGTCGTCGCCTGAAGAGAGAATCGAAGTAAAACAAAGTCAAAGTCAGTCAGAAAATTGACTATGAAGGATGAAGATACATTGATAGAGGAAGATACATACTTGCTTCGAAAGGTGGCTTTCCTACCACCATGTGGTAAAGCATCACCCCAAGGGCCCACCAGTCCACTGAATAGCCGTAAAACTGTTCTGTGAGCATTTCAGGCGCTTGTGCATAATCAGTTCCGCAAATACCAGAGGTCTTCCCGTCAGCAGAAGCTATGGCAGCAAGACCAAAGTCAGCAAGTCGGACCCTGTAATCAGATGCTATCAAGACGTTGGCAAGTTTGATGTCGCGATGGATTATTTTCTTGCCATGAAGGTATTCGACTGCCCTTGCAATGTCTTCTATAATTAATTTTGAGTCTGCTTCAGGGAATACAGTAGAGATTGCAGTAGCTTTATGGAGTAGTTCTTCAAGATCCCCAAAAGGCGCGAATTCTAGAACGATATGAACCAAGTCAGGACTAACATAACATGTATAATATTTGATGATAGAAAAATGATCAACTTGACGCAGTATCCTGAGTTCTTGTATGATGTCGTCAGCGTTGTCTTTTCCTTCTTCATCAGCATAGCATCGAATGACTTTTATTGCTCGTAAAGATTGGTCAATGTTGCTTCTAGCTCTCCAAACCGTACCAAAGCCACCTGAACCAATCTTCGTCAAGAGTTCAAATTCTTGTTCAGCTTTTGGGTTGTAAGAGGCCATGATAGAATGATGAGGGTTGATATAAAAGTTGAAGAGTTGTTGAATATAAAAACGTTGACGAGGCAAGCAGATAGGATATGAAGTGTAGTTGATAAGATGTGGTATTTGGATAGGAGGGATTGGATCAAGTTGAGGCTGGCCAATGGATTTATATACCACGGTTGATGCTGATTCAGATCAGCATGGTATCTATCAGAATGCGAATCATGCATTTTTAAAAATGTGAACAAAGGTGGAATCTAATCTGAATGGATTTATCTACCAGGGCTGATTGCGATGCTGAGGCCGAAAAGTCATCGTCTCATTACGCATGCTGGCTGAGTAGCATTTTGACGCAATGAACAAAGGCACAGAGCTCAAGATCGTGATCACAAAGGTTGAACGTGTATTGCCTTTCGACATTTCTTTCGAAAGGGATTTGAGATCTTGGGCAGCTCTCTTATGGTCAATCATACATTTTTTTGATTACGGTACTGCACCAGCAGTACGAATCACGTCAAACGCCCGCAAGTAATCCGGTAAAGAGCAAATTTATCCAGCACCTCCCATGATTCTTCTAGAGTTATTTTGTATACTAAGTGGATTATATGCAAGGTGCGACTTGGCCATTGTTTTTTTCGCTAAGATATTCGAGCAATGTTCTACAAAGTACCTTCAGGGATATCTCTTTTCTGGTTCACCTGAATCCAAGGCATTTGCCTGGTTTTGAAGTCGTCTGGTGATCATCAGGTCTATACTTGAGAGTGGTTGATAAACACTAGACTGATACTATAGTAGCAAAAGCAGTGAAGCTAAGTACATGCATCATAATCATTTCACAATTTCATAATTGTAAGGTAGGAGCTGACCGTCACACTTGAGGGTTGAATAGAAATTTTGATCCTCATCCTCTCCTCACGTTGCTCTATTTTGTAGACTTCACTTGGTAGTGAAGGCCTTGTATCTAGATAGGAATACGACGTTTTACTGGTTATAGAATCGCGCCTTTGATTGGTAGTCAGTATTACTCAAAAAAAACTTTCATAAAAGTAGAATCAGAACTCTACAAGTGATATAAAGTTGATGATTTACAACATGGGTGATACTGATGCTGAGGCCTTACTGTGTTGATCCTTGCATTAAACATAACTGTAACACTATCATATTTCCAATTCATCTTCCCATCCAGGAAGCAATACAAGTCCTGATGAATTGAAAGCTCTTTATTCCGAACGGAACTTGCAAGGTGTTGACGTCAAAATTAAAGCTTCTTGTGCTTTATGGAATTATGATATTGTGTTTCTACACTCATGAATATCCACAGATCTTGTGGTACTACAGGTCAAGTCTTGTGTCAAAGCCTAAGGTTATGTGACTCTTGAGAAGATCATGAAAGGATATAAAGTCTGCCGGGATTCCAAGTTCCTGATCTGCATTTGTAACTGTTTCTAGACTATATATTGAGATATTAGAGTCCTATTGATCTTGGTCAATATCACCCTTTCACTAATCCACACTTGCATAAGAGTTTGGTCTTCAAGATTCAAGAGTTCCTTTGAAGTTATCTTTGAAATCAAGAAAAATAATTGCAAGAAACAGGTTTCATATCCTTCTCTCTTTTCAAACAAGGTAAGCAATATGATCTTTTAGTCTATCCCAATAAACTCCAAGTTTCCAAGCTCTGGCATACTCAGAGTGGCATCAACTATTTCACTGGTCCCAAGGAATTTGCATCAAAGTTCGAAAATTTCTTCAACCCTTATTTTAGGCCCTACCATTTTACTCCTCAGAAAACTCATCCACCCTGTTGCAAAACATTTGATCAGATCACATCATCATGTAATGAATGTACGCAAGATGATCAAATACTGACATGTGTATCTCCCCCCTTTGAATCAATGGTTCTTGAAGACTTAGTCCCTGCAGGAAACACTGCAATTGAAAATCACAAACACATTGTTCTCTGATACAAAATTTGAAGAAACAACACACAATGTAAGTTGAAATCATGCAACATATCATATCCATTATAAGGAAATTGTACATCCAATAATCATATCTGGAGCCTTTTTTTCAATCTAACATATCCTCACAGGGTTCATAGCAGATGGCAAATAATCACAGCCCTGCTGGTCTTGGGTGTCATCTTAACTGAAGTATGGGGGATCATCATTCCAATATTCAAGAAGCAACTGGAGCAACTGAAGCCATCCAGCTCTGATAACCCAATCTCATGCAACAAATGTGGTGAGGACATGAGCTTGGGATTTCAAATATCTTCCAACTGTAGAAAAGAATCAAAATGTACATGTGGAATCAGTAGTGACTATTGTTGTAGAGGCAAGATAACTTCTAAGACTTACATGTGTAAAGACACTTGTGGGATTAGACAAGTTTATATGAAACACTGCCCTCATCATAATGAACCATATCCTTGTTTCTCACTTCATCCTCCATATTGATGTAAGCCTTAGGAAAAATTAAAAAATATCAGAAAAAATACTTTTTCATTTCTATTGATTATTACTTACTGGATGTTGTTAGAGACACATTACACTGTTATTTGGAGCTCATTTATTTATCTCAATTTGAACATGCATCATTCTTAATATCTTGTTAAAGTCAAAATAACACAGGATGTAAGGAAGCAGTTTTATTCTCCATACCAAAGCTTGAAATTATCTTTCAAATCCCAAACTGAAATTGTGAAGAAGTTAACTATATGGCATAATTTCTAAGGAGACTGATTATTGATCTTTATTCAAAAAGAGCAACAACTTCATTATGATGGATCTTCAAGTGAAAATATCTACTTCAAGATATATACTATCCTACTTCCATCTTGTTTCTTGAGAGTCAATTCAATACCCATACCAAGAGATGAGGCCTTTTCAGAAATATTTGATATCAAGAAGAAAAAATATTCCAAAATACCAATTTGATTCATTTGTGGTTTACTTGCACTGCCACTAGGTGTCAAAGAGCCAACGCCGAGCCAGTTACGCTCCGGATAGCGCTAACGTAGTGATAACGTAGCTTTATGCGTTAAAGTATCCAATAGCGTAGCTGGCCTCGAAATAGTCACGCTTGCAAATACCCGTAGTGGAATTTTTTCAGAAAAGTTACGTTATCCATACGGGATAACGGGGCTTTTTTAAAAACCCTACGCAACAGGGCCAGCCCCGCTAATGTAGATAGGATAGCGCATAGTGTTACGCAGGGGTCTGTACCAATTGAGCACGCCACACTGGACCACTCGACAATCCGAATCTAGCAGCCCTAGATCCACATCTAGACCTCGAACCAGCAACGACAACCCTTTTTGGGATATCGTCATGGCCCAAAAGGATACCTTCATACTGCATCACGCAAGGGGCCTTACTGATCTTGATTCGAAATCAGAAGGTGAGTGACCTTTCGCTGATTTTCTTTCTTCTCCTTTTCGTTTCACTGACTCTCATTTCATTCTTCCCATCCTATCCCTTATACTTTTCACTTTCACTTTGATTTCTTAGCCTATCAAACCCATTTTCGTTCCCACAATTTTGAACTATTTTATAAAACTGATCACAGTTATACATCAGTCGCAACGATTCACCCATCTCAGCTTTTCTTCTTTTCAATCTTTATACAATTAATTCAATATCAATACTTTTACCTATCTGTCATGCCAATGCCAGAAGGCTCCAAGTCGCAAAACAATCCAATGTCATCACAAATCCAAGCCACGCCTGGTTCCAGTCGCTCTCAACGCATACGTCAACCAACTTCGAACCCTGGGATGGTTTCCCCGTCACCTGATGGTCGCCGAAGGGTTTCAGTCAAACCCCCGTCGTCAACTACCCACAAGACGAAAAACTTGGGAAAGAAACAATCATACACGGCTACAAAGAAGAAAATCACGACTGGAAAGAAGCAAGCGATGGTCATTGATTCTTCTCAAGATGAACAAGATGATGGTGATGTTCCTGATGTCGAAGTTGTTCGACAGAGAAAGAGAAAACCAAAGCAAAAAGACCTACCAGTAAGTAAACTTCATCATTCATACAATGTGCTCAAGCTGATGAGTCAGTTCTAAATCTTGATTGTTTTGTTAAAAGGACTATTCATCCAAACACGTTACTGAAGAAACGATCAGAGCCGACTCAGACGAAGAAAACAACACAGTTTGGAAACGTCAACGTATCACTATTGAAGACAGTGACAAGAACGATGCCCTCTTGGCATACTTTGGAGAACCTCAGTATCGTCCAAAAGATGTAAGTGCCATTTCGCCACTGCTGTTGGTTGTCATCTTTTTCTCCTCATCATCAACTGCTTTCCCTCCTTCAGGACAAATCCAAGCGACCACTAGGCTACCCGTGTTTGTGGTGCAGCCGAGACACATCTAACCCGGTTTGGATCAGCTACACCAACCCCACAGGTAATCTCAAAGCTCACCGCGATGGTTTGACTCAGGAAGGACGATCAGCAGCAGGCTGCCCTGGCCGACGTAGAGCTCGGGAAGCTGGGATATCGGTTCCACCCTCAGTTGCCGAAGTTCGCGCCCGTGAGGAAGCTGAACGTAAGAAGAACAATGGGCCACTCGACTCCTACGTAACAAGCACAAAGGTTTCGAAATTTGAGAATCTCACTTTCAACCAAGGCATGGCAGTCTGGCTGGTCCGTCAGTCTTTACCATGGACACAACTTGCGGATCCGTGGCTCCGTGCATGTGTTCAATACCTCAGACCTGAAGCTAAGCTTTATGGCCGGCATTGGGCTGCACTTGAAGCCAAGCGTCTAAACCTCTCCATGAAGGAGCAAGTAATCAACGAGCTCAAGGTTTGATATACACTTCTTCCCACTTGCTTTGTTCCCCATTCCTTCCTTTCCTTGAAAGTACTGACAATCTGGTTGTCAAATTCACAGGGCCTCGACTCTAAGTTTTGTATGCAGCACAACGTGTGGACTTCAAAAGGAAACCGGCACGGTTTTATCGGCGCATCGGTCAATTATATTGATCCCTCGTGGAAGTATGTTTCTCGGCATCTCACGCTGAAGGTAGTGGCATGGGAGCACAGAGGTGTTTGGTTGGCTGAACCGTTGGCGAATGTACTCATCAAGAACAATCTTGCTGAAAAGATAAGTTTAGTCTACTGATCTATTTCCATTAATACATAGACTGATGTTGTTTATAGTTGCGGACCTCACTTGCTTAGCCAAACAACCGACTCGGGTTCAAACAATAAAACCATGGCCAATGAAATGCATCGGCAATTCACCAATGAAATGCATCGGCAATTCATTGGCCATTATGGTACTGACTCGTCCTACCAATGGAATCCCAAAATGATGCACGCGTTTTGTTTCTGCCACAAGCTTGCGCTTGTGGTAGGTGCCGGATTGGCAGCCCTAGGTCTGAAGACACCTCCACCTCGCCGTGTCAAGACGGCCGTTCGTGGACGGTTTCCAGCCGTTTGTACAACTTTACTTGAAGAGGATGAGCCGCCGGAAGACCCCCGTTCTGGTGATGGCCCGGTTCTCGAGGTACCTGATCTTCCTACTTCACCCACGGAGGACGATCGAGCTTCCGATGTCGAACACGACCTTCAAGAATTAGATGAAGATGATTTGGACGCCAACATTATGGAACGTTTGGAGGCTTCCATGGCAGAGAAAGAGGTAGACGATGAGGAGGATTGGGATGCAGTGGATGCTGAGGATGCTGAAAATCCTTTGTTGATGCTTAATGACACGGTGGCTCCAACTCACAGGAGGGAGGCAAACAAGTTAGATTACATTTTGGAAAAGGTATGTCTCATTCCTTCCTCACTGTTTTACACCAATCATGATCGACACCATCCACTTACACCAATCATGATCGACACCATCCACAGCTCGACTTTGTCATTAGGAGGATCACTCGATCCTCATCTTGGCGTAATGAATTTAAAAGGATCATGAAAGCTCGTGGGCTATCTCTGGGATCGTTGGTTGCAGGGTACGGAATTCAATGGAACATCAAGTACATCAGCAGGCATAAAGCATGGCTGGCACGTGAGGTAAGCTTTCAATCTATTTGTTCATTTAAACAAACTCAAACTGACATATTATTACAATAGGTGATCGACCAACTTTTGAAGGAAGACCTTGCACGTGTCCATTCAAAGACTTGCCGACCTCGCAAAAACGGGAAACCTTATGGTTACTTCCACGAGATTTCAATAAGTCCTTCAGAATGGGCCTCAATTCAAGAACTGAACTCGGAACTTGAGGTATATTACAATTTGTCTTTTTCTTTCGATTTTTCATTGAATTGACTTTTGAATCCTTTCTTTCTATTCTTCTATTACATACAGCCGTTTTTGTCCGTCACCAAACAAATGGAAGGTAACATGCCCACTGGGGCTTTAGTTATTCCTAAATATGTTGAAATACAAAGTCGGTTGCAGGAACGAGAGATTGACTTACCAATCAGGGACGCACATTACCCTATGATTGCCGCAATGCTTGCCAAGTTGCAAGTCTATCTAGACGAGGCCCTTGCATGCGAAACGTTGGTAACGGCAACAATTCTACACCCTGCTTTCCGACTCAAATTCTTTGAGAAATTCTTTGAGAAAACATCAACTACATACATCAATGCCGAATCAACCTTCAACCGGATCTTTCATGAATATCAGCTGCAAACAACAAAAAAGAAGACCTCAAAAGCTCCTGTGTCAGAACTTTCAGCAGACTGATCACGCCCTTCAACTTCAGCTATATATGACTTGTATAGTGATGATGATGATGGTGTTGAGGACTTTGGCGACGATTCACAAATGAAAGAGTACTTTCGTGCTTCCGTTCGGATGAGAGAACCTGAGTATGACCTGGCCAATCCTAACGAAGCTCTTCGCTGGTGGGCGGTAGGTTTGCTGTCACTTTAATCAACTCCATTCAATCTGTACTAACTCGTTTCTTTACTCCCTTTGTAGACAAATTACGCTCGGTTCCCCATTATTGCTATAATGTCTCGTGATTATCTGGCTTGTTTGGGGTCTTCGGCTGGACCTGAGCGCACATTCTCAGCAGCAGCTGATGTGTGTTCAGCCTCTCGAGGAGGTTTAAGTCCTATAAACATCGAGAGATCGGTTTCAACTCACATGTGGCTTGTTGAGGGTGTACCTTTGGGCAAAGAGTTTGGCAAGGTTATTGAGTGCATCAGGGTGAATGATTTCATGTAGTTTCCTATTTGTTATTTTTCTTTTGTGCTTTTTTCTGTTTTTTCAACAGTGGCAATTTTAAAACACTGTTAACGAGTTAATGTAGAGTTAACGTAGCTTTGTCAGTTACGTTAGCATATTGAGATAGCGGTCAACACTTGTAAAATCTACGCTAAGCGCTACATCGTAGCTCTAGACGGTACGTTAGCCATTTGTGAAATATCCCGATAACGGGTACAGCTACCCTACGCGTTATCTGCTATTTAGCGTAGAGTAGCGTAGCTGTCTCGGCGTTGAAAGAGCTACACCTTATCTCCTATTGAGTTCTACTGACCTTTTTTCTCACCCACTGGCACCTAATAACCCATTATCTTTTCATCAAGACATCCAATTTTGTTTTCCAGGCTCCTTATCATGGAAAGGATCATCAGATCTATGCATAAGATAACACTTGTCATCATCATAGGATGTTAGAAGGCTTTACCTGATTTGATTTTGAGCTCCAATAAAATAACTATCATTTATATATCCGTTGTCTATTTTATAAATTATTTCTTGCGCTATGAGATAGATGGTCCCCAAAGTTACAAAAGCAAAGACAATAGACCACGAAACACAGGTTCTTTGCATAGCTCTCACCCTTGCCGTCTTAAATCACACCATGTTCACAAACCGATCATCATGCAATCAATCTCTTCCATCGTACAAGATTTTCCATTTTCTCTCTACTGTTTAAAAGTCTTTTTCTTGTACAACGACTTCATCAAGTCCACTCTAACCTTAACTGAAGTAAGGACTCTGGTCAAATGACTTCTGACAATGTGGAGAAGAAAAGGAGAATTCATTTATTTCAAGTTAAAGACCACTTGGCTTGGTAAAGCAGTGTTTGATAAGTTGAGATCTAGGGCTCGCGCAGTGCAAACTTTCAAATATGAAACTGTTGAGCGTTCCACTGCGATTCCTTTCAAGGGCCTCTGGTGAATCTCTCAGATACTCTTATGCTCTAAACCCAAATTTAGACTTGGTCATTTGTTCAAGATCGTGTGGAAATGATGATGATTAGATAGGATTCAAGGATAGGACATCCAACTTGTCTCAGCATAATTAAAAGGAGCGTGATGAGCCTGATTGGAGACTGATCACGGTTGAGCATGATTCATAAAAGTTGTCAGACTTCCTGTCTTTGCTCAAATCTCAATTTGCATGACGATGTGGGATGGATGATGAAGGAGGAGAGGGATGAAGTCTTTGCCAGCCAATTAGCTTCGATAGGTCTGAACTCTGGAGCAATAGGAAGCAGCTCTTTATGATTTGTATCTCGGTGTTGTGGTGTTGTTGATTGATTTTTCTAGTTACCGCCGTTCGCAAGACTAAACTGAGCTATAAAACTGTTTATTACACGTAACACTTATAGATTTGTATTTCCTCATTAAGCTCAGTGACCTTTTTGATTTTGTTTTCCCCGATTTTAAAATTTAAAACACTTTTAATTCAAATTTCAGTCTCATCCTCATCCCATCCCCTCCCATCCCCCTGGCTTGACTCTCTTTACCATCTCATCGTTCTGTTCTCAACTATCATTCATTCTCTCATAAAAATCACCTCAACTACCTCACTAATCACCATCCTAGGGCGCCTTTATTCGAAGCGCCCCTTCATCACCTCAAACTAAAGCCATCACACCATGAATTCCAATAACACTCATCTACTCCTCCTTCCCGGTACTCGAAAGCATGGCTTAGGTCCTTTACCCTCTTTCGTTGCACCTCCTTCGGAGGAATCATCTGTTGCAGATCTCGAATTGAAGCGTGCTATCAAAGCTGTCTTGTCTGCTAAGAAAATTGCTGTCGTAGTTGGTATGCTCTAAACTATCCAGCCTTCCTTTTATCATTACTATTACTATCAGATATGACTATCTGATAATATGATTCCTAAATTAACGAGAACACTTCTAACCCCTTTTCATTCTTCGCTTTCACCTTCCAATCATAGGGGCTGGAATCTCTACGGCTGCCAACATCCCTGACTTTCGGTCATCCACCGGTCTATTCGCTTCTCTCAAATCCCGCTTCCCGAACGCAAAGCTCAGCAGCGGTCGCGATCTCTTCGATATCAATGCCTGGAAAGTAAGTGACTCTTTAATCAAACGAACTTCTTCAACATTTCAATCGGTTAACTATGCATCCTTTTCCTTTCCATTTCAGGATCCTGAGACGTGCAGTCTGCACTTGGGAATGCTGGCTGAACTTCATGGAGTTTGTGAAAAAGCTCAACCAACCAAGTTTCACGAGTTTCTCAAGAATTTAGATGAAGAGGGTAAATTGAGTCGAGTTTATACGTTAGTATCTCTTCTTCTTGTGTCTATGTTCGTTCCCGAGCTCTATTTCAAACGATTGACATCTGCTCTATCCTTTTCCAGTCAAAACATCGATGGCTTGGAAGAAAAGGCTGGCTTGAGCTATGGCATTCCGGATTCTGCTCCTCCTTTACGTGCTCGTGATGGTCCTCCCGGCTCCCCGAAGAAACGTGACTTGAAACGTAAACGAGGCCAAGTCTTCCCATCCAACCTACCACCCACCCCACCCATCACTCCACCCGCATCAGTCTGTGAAGACCATGGACGCGACTCGGATGACAAAGGCAGCCAGTCAAACAGTCTTCGTGCTCCATCGGTATCTGCCTCCTCTCAGAGTGATGTAGGCACCTCAGAGATCTCTGCCTCACAAACATCGACCACTTCCACTATACGCACATTGGAGTCATCTTCCGTCAAAGCTGCTGTAGGAAGAGTGAGGACTCGATCTGCTTGTGCCGCTGAAGCGGCGGCGGCTGCCACTGTTACCGCGACTGCTCAACCACGTCCTATCCGAGCTAAGCCTCAAGATCCATTCCCACGAGTGATTCCCCTCCACGGTACCCTCAAACATCTTACCTGTTCGGTCTGCAAGAGCACTGAACTTATGTCCGACTACATTCCGGCTCTCAGCGCAGGGGAGCTAATTTATTGCTCTCAATGTGAAACGTTCGATGCTGCTCGTACCATATCTGGCTTTCGACCTCGAGGTGTGGGCGTCTTAAAATCTGGCGTAGTCCTCTACGGCGAAGAACATAAAGAAGGAGAGATGGTAGGGGCTGTGACAAGTCGAGACTTGATGAGGGGAAGAAGACCCGATCTTTTAATCGTTGCTGGAACCTCATTGAAAGTTCCTGGTACCAAGCGACTCGTCAAAGAATTGAGTAAGGTGATTAGACCACCATCGAAACAAGCAACGGATTCAGAAGATGAAGATGAAGAGAAGTCAACGCTAGCATCGAAAAAAGATAAACCAATTCACACAATCTTTCTCAATAATGAATTTCCTTCTCCATGCGGGTTATGGAAGGATACTTTCGATGTATGGGTCAAAGGCGATCTGGTCAAATTCATCGAGATGGTGAATGAAGAACGTGAGAATCAAGAAAGAATCAAAGTGAAGAAAGCAGAAGAGAAGCTTGAAAGAGAGAAACGAAAGGAGGAGAAAGAGAAGATCAAAGCTGCTCAACAACAACAAGGAGCTGAACCCGCATCTCAACAAGAAGCAACTAAACTACCATCTACCCCTAGACGTAAAAAGGCTGCGGCCCCTCAGGTCAAGGCTAATGTCAATCCTTCTGCGACCAATGCCAAACCCAAAGGTGGCAAGAACATCAATACTTTCTTTACCGTATCTAAAGCTGGCTCTAAATCTAACACTACTAGTAACCCAACCAATTCAATTAAGGCCAACAACAAACCTAAGGCGGGCTCAAGGAAGAAAGCGGAAAAGCCTTTGGTCATCATCCCTGCAATTCAGGTTTCTACTTAGGAATCATCTTCATTCTCCAATCTCCTTTTTTTGCATTTCATCATCAATTCATTATTTGATCTTGTTGTGTTGTGTCATTTTTCTCACTTTAAAAAAATTGTATGACCGTTCTTTTTTGGTGTTGATTTTCAGAGACCCTTCCTTTTGTTTTATTGTGTATGGTTTTCAAAACTTAATCTAATTATTATAAAACATCACTTATCTTATATATGTGATGAACTCTGAAAAAGATTATTTTGGGTAGATGAACTTGTAATTCAATTTCAATTTCAATTCCATTCTTTTTTCTTTTTCTTTTGTTTATTGTCCTTTTTTTTGTATTTTCATGGTGCTTATTAACAGGAAGATTTTTTTTTCATATTTCTTTTTTCTGAAGAGCTCTTGACTCTCACAATGTCAAGGTCTTGAGGGATCTTTTTCGCTTTGAAGGATTGGTAAAATGAGACCAACATATCCTTATGAAATAGCATAAGAAGGCATGTTCACTGGTATTCACATCTTTGTGTTTGATCTTAGGCTTTTCAAATGAACCTCAAGATTGAAATGATCACCAATCTTTTTATCTTGTTTCAAACCTTGGAAAGACTGGAATTTGGCATTCAAAGTGGAAATTCCAGTGTAAGGTAAGAATTGAAAAAGAGTTCTGTTCAAAGCCAGTTTATTATCTAATTTCAGTATTAGCCAGCAGGGGGACTTACTCTGGATTTTTGTGTTGGCAAGCACAGTCTCCTTTTGGTGGTAGCAATTTGTACCATTGGAGCTTTTTTTGCATGATTATGAACTCTTTTGAAATTCAAATATGTTCAGCAGGAATCAAGTGACGCGGTCTCACGCTATCTTGTCTATGTTTGCCCTTGTCTACCCTCCAATTTGACGCTGCAAAGCATGTTTGGGGTGCTCGTAATGTACCTTAGGTTTGGATGCTTCAAACATGATCACCTCAAATGTCCATTGATGAGACAATGGAATTCAAAGCCCTTCTAGGGAACTCCTCACGGTCCTCACGGTCTTCTCAAGGTTTGATTGTGGATCTCCGAGTGTCGCAATGTGAGAGCCCACATAAAAGATGATTGGAAGAGGGAAGTGAATACAGACCACAAAAGCTATTGTGGTCAAAGAAACTTGCGATAAGACTTTTCTTCGAAGGTCGATCTCGACCCGGCTGTCATCTACATCGATCCTCCTTGGTTGGTCGAGCAAAGGTCTAGAAAACCACGTGACCAGTCAAAAAACCCGTCAGTTGCTAAGAAAATTCATCCACCTTGAATGGTATCAATGCAGGCTAGGAAGGCTTCAGGTCGGACACCGAAGCTCGGTATGGGTCGGGTGAGCAAGCAATGGGATACCGTAGAATTTGTGACGTCTTGTTGTCGCTTTTCCATCTTGACGATTCCAGGTTGGTTTGCATGCTATGAGCAATTGCTCGGCGGAAGCTGTGATTGATGATCAGTCGAGTTACATCACTTCGACTGACGAGGTTGGCGAACCTCGACTGGCGAGGTTGGCAGGAGAACATTATGAATGTTGCCGAGGTTTGCCACATCTATGTTCGGGACCAATCGTTGAATATCTGAAATATATCCATGAACACCTGCGTAGCCATGTAGCCGATGCACGCTCAGCACTGCTGCTAAAGATAGGTAATGTGAGCTCAAGGCCAGCTTTTTCTTGTCGCCTATAAAAGAGAACTCGGATTGTATACTCGGATCTTTCTATCTGCGCATACTTCCTAGGATCACACTAATAGAGCTAGACCTCTATAACAACTATACATCTAAGGGATTGCCGGGCATCCTTCCTCTCGCTTAATATGACTACTACATCTAGATATTTAAAGCACAAGGCAGATCGCTCAACTCTCTCTTTTAGACGAAAAGGTCTTATCATATTGTTGGCTTTGATCTTCTTCTTCGGGACTTGTTCAGCAAAAAGAGGGAGTCACAGGGGAGGAAATAATAGGCCAGGAAATACCAATACAGGGTCTAAAAAGACAGCAAAGAATGATAAGCCTACTTCTGGGGATAAAAACGTCTCGAGCCAAGTCGCAGCTTTGACAGCAGAAGTGAAAGCTATGGACGGCTTCGTCGCCAAACTCACTTCAGGCAAAGATGCAAAATCTTTGAAAGCCGCAGCAGAGGGTGGCATCCGCTCGGAGCACAAACAGAATTCTCTCCGAGCTAGTCTAGCCAAGGTGGGAAATGTCCCTGGCGATTTGAAGACCATCAACGGGCTCATTGATCAAATCATGTAAGTCTTCATCCAAGATGTATTTACCTGTTGTGAACGATCTCTCTAGAGTGATCAGTACTTTTCAAGTTTGCCCATAGGCAGTTCAAAGCTACAACTGACGGGAACGTCCTGAATTCTTTCTGGTAGAAAATTATCGCAAGCCTTTATTAATGGTAATAGTCAAACACCTGCAGGTGCATCAAGGCTGGCTAAAGATATCACAGAAATCCGCGGCAGAGCCAAACCAAGTAAGGATCTTCTCTTCATCCACATCTCCTTGTCATCAACACGAGTAAGTGATTTAAGTTGACGCCAATCCTGTGATATCATTGAAATGATAAAGTTAATAAAAAGATCATAGACGCAGCTACCAAAAACGCGGGTAGTGGAACAAACCAGTCGGGCAATAAACCAAAACCGCACCACTGAAACACAAAGCTTCTGACATTTTGCTTACAAGTAAATGGCTCAACCATCAATCCTTCTTAATATCATTCCCCTTGACTTTTCTTCATTCTTATTGAGATAATTAACTCTTCCACCTTTTCATTATTTGTTTTGTCATAGTTAATATCTTTATGATGTCAACTTCATTTCTATCTTTCATTATCTGACATCATTATTTAGTCATCCTTCTCAATCTACTCATATGTACCTTGGTTCTACGAGCTCACTTTTTCTATATAAGAATGAATGTGTCTCTTACTTTATGTTGTCTTTCCTCATCCATTCTTATCAGTGTTTCTCGTACCTCTAGGTACTCTGCTTTTTCCCCAACACTCGCGTTCTCCTAGCTTTCACTGAGAACTATCGTGTTCTTCCAAAGCTCGTACTCTTATAATTCTTGTGAACTTTATCTAATAGATTTAGAGACTCTTTCTACAATAACCTTCAAACTGAATATGTATTTGTAATACTAACCGAAGTAATTTTCTAGAATACATTTGATATGTAGCAACATTAAATGCTTATAGCCACAAATCTCAATGTTTTGAGAAGCTGAATATGTATTCAAAAGATTTCTGTGCCAGGGCTCAGGTGTACCATAGAGAAGTGCATGGTTTTCTAGGCATGCTTTTTAGAGAGAAAAACTACTTTAATAATTCAATAGAGAAGAGGAAAACACAATATGATACAAGTAAGTATCTATATACCAAACACAAGAATAAAACATCAAAGAGCATCCACAGTGGTGGGCTACAAGTTGGGACTATTTCAAAATTTGGCAATAGGGATATGATTCCTTGCTGTGGTGGCAGTCCCTATTGATCTTTGTAGCCAACTTCAAATTTTGAACTTTGGACTGCAAGTTTTGGCAACATATAGCTGGGCTCCAAATCATCACATTTGCTCAACCCCATCCCTCACATATGTAAACCCACAGATACTAATCTCAAAATGTGCGTAAGCACATATCCTGCACATATTTGGAGTCTGGACCATTGCATCCAGATATTGAGGAAGTTCTTGAGATGTTTAAATTGTTGGTTCTAAAATTGGATTAGATCTGTTGATGTCTTGTCAATTTCATGATACAGTGGAATTCCTACCATCAGTATGCTGTAAGTGGATTCATCTGCTTTGAATGAATCTTTCAGAGAAAACAATCAGACAATTTTAATTGATTGGGATCCAAGAGAGGGATTTTTCAGTAAGTAAAATCAGTTGGCATTTTGGTGAGCAGGTCTGAGCTGTACAAGTTGTGATATAGCTGAAGGTTGCTGAAGTTTCAACCAATGCCTGAAGCGTCCCGCCGCAAAAAGCGGAAGGGGAGCGCAAGCGGGGTGGTATGCCCCGCCCGCGCTACCGGGTCTCTGATGTAGTGGGTATCCGCGCCCCGCCCGCGCTTCCCTTTGAAAGGGGAGCGCAAATGTTGGGGCGGTAGGACATACCACCACGCTGCAGGATGTCAGATCTTGCATGTAGCGGGTCAGTACCAACTACGTCAAAGGAACTGACATCCGAGATTTCCTTTCAGATATCGTCGGATATCTAATATCAGACCACAAAGGAAGGCCTTTTGAAGCCCTTCCCTCCACCACCACCTGCGTATAACACCATTTGACGCACTCAATCTCTCCTTCACTTCAATTCAAGCCCTTCTATGGTGTGTTCGATCCCTTCCATCGCTTCCAATAGCCTCTTTCTTGTGCTCTTACTGACGCTATGATTCTCTCACCTCATTTTCATATCAATCTTGGCTCAATTGAATCTTCCAACGTCAGAATCTATACTCATCGCGTAGGGTTTGGTCTTCTCATATCTGGGGTCATGGAAATATTGTAACTTAAATTAATTACTATTCTTGTTATTTCATTTCTAGTTTGATCATCACTTCTGTTCAGCAATCAAATCAAAGACCATTATGTTGCCTCCAAGTTCTTCCCTACCTGCATCTTCTGCTATTGCTCCACCTATTACTGGTCCAACGCTTCATCCTAGAACTCCTACACAACCTAGACCTGGATTCATTGCCCAATCTCCTGATCTGCGTGTGACTACCTTTTGCCTGTCTCCCATCCCCAAATCACTGGAGTCTGACGCCGACCCAAGTGTTTACGAGGTCAGCAGCAATGGTGAATCTGATACCACCGATGGCATTGGTAGCGTTGGTAGTGTTGAAGTGGTTGGCAATGTTGGACCCTCAACAGGTTCTAAGAAAAAAAAGGCAGCTTGTAAGTCCAAGGCCAAGGTTCACGTTGTCAAAAGACGTGGCCGTCCTTGTGGTTCTGGTGCTTCATCGGGCTTGGCTTGATGCCCTGCCAAGAAGACTAAGAAAGGACGACTCGAGGTAAGCCAATACTGACACCTCTGATATCAATCCTATCACTGACTAACTGCTGCTTTTGATTGACTCAGGCTACTGTTCCCGAAGTGATTGATGTTGATCAGGACTATGACATCGAGATTATTGAAACACCCGGTGTCCGCCGAGCTCAACTGGAACAAGTTGCTAAGTTATTGGAGTTGTGAGGGTTGGGTATTCAAAAGAGTACTCAAGGCTCACTAAACATGGCAAGGTAGGTTTGTAATTTTATATAATTAATGTTATATTTCAAATATAATGTAATTACAATAAAATTATAGAGAAAAGAAAGGATGAGGGAGAGGGGAACTGGCCTGTTTGGGTAAATCCAGACAGGCTACAGTTAAATGACTCCTGAAGAGGATATTATTATTATAAAGAATATGAAAGCTGGATCCAGGGCTTTCCTTCAATCTTCAAGGTGACTGATTGGAGAGTGAGGTATAGAGTCACTAGTCTGGTTGTTATAAAGTCACCAACTTATGGTTATTCAAAAGGTACACCAACCTGAGAGTTGATATAGGTCGCTAACCTACGGTTGTTCAGAAGGTACACCAACCTGTGAGTTGATATAGGTCACTAAACTGTAGTTGTTCAAGAGGTAACTAACCTTGAAGTTAATTGGGAGGTCACTAACCTAGAAATGATCTACTTAGGGAAAGTAGAGGATCCAGAAGGTGAAGAAAGGGATTACTTTATCTTTTAGTCAGGAAGCTGCCTTAAAGATATGAAGTGAATCACTAGTCTTATTATTATAAGACTTTTGATTATGTACTTCAATTGAACTTTAAAGGGTTCTTTAAAAGATGTGTGTAATAAATTGCTTGAGGGAAAGTCCTTGAAGGCTGAGAGAGGAGGGGTTTATATACTCTCCTCTCCAAACCTAATTGTAGTGATATTTGATTGTATCATTACTGTGGTTTAGGGTTTAATGATTACTATTAATTATTATTATTATTAATATTACATAATTACATATACGTGTTATGTAATTTATGTAGTATAAGCATTTTAACTCTTGACACTGAGTTACAAGGTGTAATTGGTGTTTTATTACATGTTACATATGTTTTTAAATGTATATGTATATGTAATTGATGTTTGTATATGTTTTATTATATGTTACATGTGTTTTATAAGCTGTATATACATGTAATTAGGTTTATAAGTGGAAGTTCAATATTATAAGTTAGTTTTGGGTACATGTACATGTACCCAGGGCTGACAGGAGTATTATTTTTCCCCGACCCATGTCAAAGGCGAGGTAAGATACATTATTATCTTCATTGTTTTGTTATTTTATTTCCTCCATTATTCTGACACCTTTCAATGTTTGCAGTCAGGGGATGACCCCCGTAGTTTCAAGTGCCGCTGGTGTAAGGGCATCTTTGTATGAGGTTCTCGTAGTCATTACAACTTGTATGCCCATCACGACGGGGCAAAAGGTCAAGCTGCTTGTTCCCGTTGAGCACGTGCAATTCAATCCGGTTTGAAGTTGCCCAAGTCTTGGGCTCAAGACCAAGCTGAGAACGCTCAGATGTTGACCGAAGCCAACGGCCAGAACACTCTCGATGCTTTCCTCTCTCAATTCTGACGAGAAGGTCCAATGGAATTCGGCCAAGAACCACGTCTGATGCTATGCTCATAAGCTCGGACTGGTTGTCAAGCATGGCTTGAACTCTATAGGTTTGGCTGCTGGCCATATCAAACCAACAACGCCACCGGAAACTTCAATTCCAATTCCCACGATTGTTCTCAATGGTGACATGACCGAAGTTTTATGCGACTCCGATGACTTGGACAACAAGATTTTTACCCCGCGTTCATCAGATGCTCATGATGAGGCCTCCTCCGATGTAGAAGACGGTCCAGACTATGAGTATGTTCCTTCTACGAGTTGTTTGGTGGTTCAGGGAGCTATCAAGGTCTGTTCTTTCTTTTTTATCTCAATTTTTCACTTCTTTAATCAAGTATGCTGACCACATTATTGATCTGAACCTCAGCTCAAGAACATCAATGCTCTCTTAACCCGAAGTAATGCACGTCAAGGGGAATTCCAAGCTCAGGCGACTCAGATGGGGTATGATGGTCCTGCCCCTATTGCCGGATGGGGCGTACGCTGGAACATTGACTTAGCAATGTTTTCCAACTTGGTTGCTGCTCGAGATGTAAGTGTTTTCAAATGTTTGATTAATAATTATCATATTAACTAACAATTAAGTTCTACAGGTCATTGATTCCATCCTCATCGCCGATCGGAAAACAAGGTACTATCAGGGTGCAATGATGACAATGGAGGAGTGGGATGCTGTAGAGGAACTTTGTAAAGTTTTAAAAGTAAGTGTTCTTATTTCTATCTCCTATCTCCGTAATGGACCACTAAATAAAAACCAACAAACTTACCTCTTTTGATTATCCAGGTTTTCCACTTCTCCACCAAACAAATGGAGGGTGACTTTCCATTGGGTTCAGTACTCCTGGCCGAGTACCTGCGGGTGACTGAGATGCTTCACCAGTTGCGCAATACCTCAAATTTCCCCAGCTTGATCAAGATGATCGATACAATGATCTCCAAACTTGCTGTCTATCAAGAAGAAGCAGTCTCTTCTGATGTGATTGTACTGGCTACAATCCTGAACCCCAAGTATCGGCTTCGTTTCTTTGACCTTCACTATCGCAAAGATTCCGAGAGGGCTTAGGAACTTATCGAGAAAGCATTTCAAGTTGCTTTGGCTGATTGACCAGTTAAACCACCTTCGACTCCTCCTCCCATCCCATCAACCTCCAGTAACCCTTTTGATCATTTTGACATCTTCACCTCATCAGCAACTTTTCAAACCTCCGATTCAATCCGATCATTCGAGCTTGAGATATATCTCCAAGGAACAGTTCCGATTACTCCTGGACAATCAGAGCTTACTTGGTGGAAGGTAAGGTTTGTTCCCTGTTCAATCTCAGCAGCCAAGGCTGATTGAAACTTTGATTTCATTAGGAAAATTCGGCTCAATTTCCTGTTTTGGCCTCGATTGCCCAAGATTACCTTTCAATCTCAGCTACGTCGTGCTGTGTTGAACGCACGTTCTCTTCTGCGGCAGACATCACTGTTCCTGCACGCGGGTCTTTGAAACCCAGGACTATCCAACGTGCTGTTGGATGCAGACAATGGCTGCATTCAAACATTACGGTGTTGGGACAATTTGCCGATGCAATTGCTTACGTGTCCTCCTTTGCAGCCAATATGATCAAGAAAAAGAAGGCTGATTGAATTCTCAATAAGTTTTTTAGTCTAATTCTCTTACACGGTTCTGTTTCTTATACATCCCTTCTCCTTTTTTCAATTTTTGTGAGTTTTGTTTTCTGCTCAGCTAGGTGATGGTTGTGCTTGGGTTACCCCAAGTAATTTTATTTCTTTCCTGTTCTCCTTTTCTCTTGTGTCTTTTCTTTGGTTATGTTTCTTCTATCTACACACATTTGAAACATATTTCACCTTCTTTTGTCTCTTTGATTTGTGTCCGAAGTTTTCATTATTTTTTCCTATCTGTGGCAAAAAACATGACTGCCTTTTGTTTTTTCTAGACTCTATATTGCTCTTTGTGTATTTATTCAATTCAATGTCCATATTCAATAAAAAAAATTGTGAATAGTATTGCACACTGCCCGCTCCAAGGACAGGCAAATCTCCTAAGTGGAGCGCAAGCGGGTCTTGAACCCGCGGCGCTACTTAGAATACGTAGTGGGTCCAATCCTTAAGCGGAGCAAGAGCGGATGGGACCTGTGGCGGGTTGATGTACCGTTACATAAATTCGCTAAAAAAGCAGATCAAAGCGGTGCGGTTCAGGTATTGTTTCAACTGAGCTGAAGAAACATTCTTTTTTGAAAAGACCTCTATGTCACCAAACTCCAACCAATCTACCCTTTTTGATGTCAAGAATATATGTGGTACTGTAGATGCAGTGTAAGGAGGCTTTAACATATAACTGATCTTTACGTAATATTAATATGAGTTGATCTCACCATGTCTGTGTGGTGTTTGCCCGTCAACAAGTGCACACGAGTTGCCTTTGTGCTTCAAAGGCAGTCCGTGTGCGCTCGTTGTTGAGAGACTGCCAGAAGGACATGGTGTCTTGGATAATGAATGGCTCTTTTCTAACTTATTTGAACTCATCATTTTTATTTTGATCTTGGCTTGTTAAACACTTGTTATATATGCTAGCTTGTCTTACCAATATTTAAACCCTGCTTTCTCTCTTTGGTTTTTCTCCTCACCTGTTACAACAGCAATCAGATCACCAATGGCTTTGAAGTTGTCCAATTTGTCCATATTAACCACCAAAGCCTCCATAAGTTCTTTATCAAGCCCATCCATAGTTATTAGCCACATATTGAGCTCATTCTAGTCATTTTTCTCTTTGATTACTGTTGTTAAGATTACATATTGTATATGTAAACCGATTGCAATCTACTTGTAATAAGATTCATATCTCCTGTATGTGGTTTTCCTTACTCAATAAGTGTGCTTATTGGCATGGGTATTGTCATCCCTGATCCCATTGTACAAGACTGCAGACTAACAAACAAACATGTAACTATATGTCACTTGTCTAAAATAACAATTACACTGCATGGCCCAGTGTCAAAAGTCACTTTTAGCAATAAGACTTGATTATGATTTAAACAGTGAAGTTAACCCTAGCCCAAAGAAAATCAGACCTAAGTTCCAACCACAAGTTGATGCCTAGGTCCTGGATATATAAACCCTTCACCACCAACATAGAAGATACCTTGGGTCACAGAATCTGAGGCATCATTGAAATTGAATGCAAATCCTTGGACAGATCTTGTCCAAGGTTTTGATCCAAGGTATTGTTTTGCACCAAAAAATACCCCAGATCAAATCCTTGGAACAACTTTGTCCAAGGATTTGAGGCTGATGATACCACAGATTGAAA